GTGTGTGTGTGTGTGTGTGTGTGTGTGTGTGTGTGTGTGTGTGTGTGAAAAAGAAGTATTGAGTAAGAAATCAATTCTTTCTATTCTGTCTATCTCTGTTCTACTATCTTAACAAATGATAGTTTAGAATTTCAATTACCAAATAGAGCATTACTACACGCATTAAAAAATACCTGCTGTAGCCCGGAAATATAGTTTGTAGATGAGCAATAATATTTTCAAATGTGTTGTTTGAAGAGGGCTTCATCTGTGTAGCTGAATCGTCTTGGTGGGTTTGGTTTGGCTGTATGTTCTGAGTATTGATTCCTGAAAACTTTGACATAGAAGTTAGCGAAACTTTATCAGCATATGATCCCATCCAAGCTTTGGTGTTTGTTTTCACTGATCCATCACTTGCAGAGCAAACCTTAGAATTTGCATTTGCAGGCTTCACTCCAGCCTGGGTATTAAGTGAAGCAGTTGTTGGACCTTGATCTTCAGAGCTTGAAACTGCAGGAAGTAAATTAGAGTGTGCAGATGCAGAAGAGTACGGGACAAGGTCTGGATCACTGACAGCAGGTTTGCTTTGCTTTCTCTACAAAATAAACAGATTCCATAAGAAAAAACAATTGAAATAAACTGAGCAGAGCTCTTGAGCATTTGCAGCATGAACTGCACTACATTTTGGTCACGATGAGGAACTGAAGATCATATCTGAACTTTTCTGCCTAGGTGAAAATACCATATCAAAGTGCCCTTTATTTTGTACTGCACATAGACAACTGGCTTGAAGCAGGATTAAAAAGAGCAGCATTTATGCATTCAGTGCTACTTTACATATTCTGTATTTACTAAGGAGTGAATGCTGCTGGACAGCTGCGGTTTTTCAAGGATAGTTTGATGTTCGTGGGAGAAACCACTGCTTTAACACAAGTGCCATCAATTTGAAAATACATTTACTGCTTTTAATTGGCAATATAAACAATATATAACCAAGTGCAATATTTATGCACTTATTTACATTAAAAACAAACACATCAGCTAAAGGCACCATGTTGACAATCTTGGAGTTCACATGATCCAGGAAGACTTCTCTTTGAACTAACAATTGTGTTCCATAAATGGAGAGAACTAGTGAGAACTTTTGGTGATACATGGATGGTTGGACTGGATGATCTTGTAGGTCTTTTTCACCCTTGGTGATTCTATGACTACTACTGTTGTTTCAGAACTTGGCTGCTCCAAGAACTTGGCTGCCATCTAACATGCACAAGACCAGGTTGGATGGGGCCACAGGCAGCCTGATCTAGTGTCTGATTTAGTGGTAGGTGACCCTGCTTGTGGCAGGAGGTTGGAACTAGATGATCTTTGAGGTTCCTTCCAACCCCAGCCATTCTGTGATTCCTCAAAATGAGAAGAAACAAATGGGAGTACATTTTGGAACAAAGCAACAGTCTACAAAAAGGCTGATTGAATATTTGCTTGAGAATGTGCTATTTTTTTTTTCAATCTGCATATTACCGACCTCTAGCTTTGCCAACAGAGATGCATAGAGATAATCTGACACCTAAATCGCTACCCAGTTCAGCAGGCTAACTTGGACATCCATAAATTTTCACATTCTTTAGTACATGGCTTTAGATTTAGCTTTGTTGATTCTTATAGATTTGTTTATCAAGCTATGTTTCTTATACCTCTTTATTAAAAAATGGTAAGTATTACAGATGGAATTAAGCAGTCAATGACAGCGACCATTTCATCAAGCCTTTTTCATTTGGATTCAGTATTTGCCTCTTAAGGTCTCCCTGACGGTGAAAGAACCACAGATACATTTTCTAAGAAATACCTCCATCACTGCAGTAAAAGCAGGTGCCAAATGCATAACAAGTGGAACAGAAATCACTCTACTTCCAAACTTCTAAAATGATGGTAACCTAAAGAGGATAACTAAGAACATTTACAAATTCTTAAGAGATCTGTGCCAATAAGGAGAAAAGAAGAGACCTAAATCTTAGTGGGGAATAAAAGGTAGGCCAGAAAACATAAGAGTATGAGTCCAGAAAAACTGTAGTGACAACCACAGTATACTACAGTTTTGGAACAGAGCCTTGGGTCTAAATTACACCAAAAACAAAGGAAAGAAAAAAACATAACTTTATGCAGAGAATACATTTTAAAGAAAGTTTCTTTTGTGGCATCTGTGATGCGTTTGAGGATTTCATTTTTGCATGTGCCAGGAATGCATTTTACTTAGCACTTAATTCCCCCATTCTAAAGGATGACTGAACCCTTTTTGCTTTTCTCCAAACTATCCTAAGGTACAGTAACTCATGCATGCTATTTGCCTTCATGCCTGGGCATCAGCTCTGTGCCCAGGTTTCAATTTTGCTTCAGTGAATGGCAGCAGTCAGGCTGCTGGCATCATCTCTGCAGCTAGCTTGACTACTTCGGCATGGTCATGCATCTCCCCAAGCCATGCTGATAAGGAATTAAATGAGTACTGACTTACACTGACTTTGTCCTGGCACCAGAAACTATCACACATTGTCTGGAAGTAACTGACATGATTTGAGCAAAGTATTTGTGGAAGTGCTGACCTGTAAGAAAGTGCTTTTAATAACATTTATCTGGGATGTAGCCATTGCAGATTAATTTCCATGAAAGGCTATACTGCTTTGAATTCAAAGCTATCTATTCAAGTTCTCCATGTACATGTTCTGTAATGGACAGCCACGCTGACGCTAACTTACAGAATCTCTGAACATACTGCTATCACACGTAAGATACATACTAAGACACTGGGAAGAGATGAAAGATCCGCAGTTTCTATTTTGGTGAGGCAGTTTCGAACACCATTTTTCACCTTCTCAATTTTTTCTTCATACCCAACCTGAGGAAAGAAAACAAATTCCCCTCCAAATCAGCATTAAATAAAGCTCTTCCAGTAGTTCATACAGTAAAAGGCAGCAGGCCTTTCACGTGGCTACAATAAGGCTGCCATCTCCTACAGCAACATTAATCTCTATGGAAGCACATTAATGTCTGAAAACATTTGTGAAACATCTAGCTTTTAAAACTTAACCTAGATGTTCCATACAACTTCCCTTTTTAAAAGACAATTTTATCATTTTTTAAAAAGTTGCATGGACTTTAAAAGTTCAAAAAATACAAAAGAGCTGACAGACTGATCAACCCGGAATTCAGTAATCTTGAATTTTGCCTTTCCAAAACGGAAGATATTCATTGCAACTTAAGCACATTTTATCATCAGGCCTTATAATCAAAACTTTCTTTCATCATTAAAAGAAACGCAGATTGGCTTGTGGAGAAGCCATTGATATTTTAACAAAGGAATGCAAAATTAAGTTATATATTCTGTTTTAATTTCCAAAATTCAACTTATCCCTAGTTAAGAGAACTTAAGACTTACCTTTACTTTCTCCATTTGTTTCTTTATATTTGAAATAAATACTTCCCAATAATTAATCTGTGACTTTAAGTCAGGAAGTGATGAAGCTGAGCTGCTAAAATAATGAAAATTTTCAGTTAAACTCCAACATTCCCATTAATTTGTCTACTTTGCAGAAAAGAAGGCTGAGAGGCAACTGCGTTCCTCTCAGCAGCTTCCTGAGGACAGGATGCAGAGAGGGAAGTGCTAGGCTCTTCTCTTTGGTCACTGATGACAGGGAATACAGAATGGCACAAAGCTGCACCATGAGAGATTCAGAGTGGGCAGTAGGAAGAATGTCTTTACATGAGGGTGGTTGAACACAGGCACGGGGCACCAGTCACCTCTCTAGGAATCCTGTCCCAGTCAGTAATCAAGAGGCATTTGGACAATGCCTTCAATAACAAGTTTTAACTCTTGATTAACTCTGACAGCTCTTTGGTCCCCTCCAACCAAACTCAATTATTTTTATGACCATACTCTCACAACTTTAGTCACAGTTAAAGACTTATACCTATTTTAAGCTAACGTCACTTAAATTAACTGCACCTATATCCTATCCAATCTTAGAAGTAGACTCCTCAAATGTAAAATAATATTTTGGGGCAACCTAGACAGGGAGATGGAACAAGTAGTTTTTAAAATATTAATTCCTTGATTCTTGCCAAATGCCCAACTGTTTTGTTTCACCACTTCATTTACATTGCAGCCCTCTTCCAGTGCTACTGGATAGCAGTAACTGGAACATTCCCAGTAGCCTCATCTTCTAAGAGAGAATTAGAAGAGAAGTTTGCTGCTCACATGTTGGTAATTTAAGCCCAAAATAGAAAATCAGCTTCAGGAAAGTTGCATTTAATGACTGCGGATATTTCAGGATAGCATCGGTTTGTGAGCAAAACTGACTTGTCTAGTTAAAACGATCATGATTAAACATCCAGTAATTTCTTTAACAAGAAGTAGTACTGAAATTGCTAGTGTAAACTCTCCATACCTGCTTAGTGACTTCAACATCTTGAGATTTGCTTCTGCTTTGGAAACTATGCCATTCAGTTTGTATAATTCACTTTCTTTCCAGTTTTTGAGTACTGATACCTGTAACAAAATAACAGCTTTTAAAGAAGTGCAACAAAAGCATTGCAGACACCATAAATAAAGCCTGGATCCTCTTAAACAACAGTTTGATGATACAGTGTACAACATACACACTCACAACAGAACATCACATTAGAATCAAGGGCATTGGCAGGCCTCTGAGAGGTTAAGTGGGTTATATTCACTTCAACGGACTGCAGAATGCATGCAGAGACGTTCCTTCCATCTGCAACTTAAAAACGCATGTGTTTGTGTACATATATATATTTTAAGTGTTTAAGGCAGCCTTTTAAATGCTGTACTGTGGAAGACCAACGTGGATCAACAACCTAATCTTTGTATAAGATCTCACTGCAGGTACAACAGCCTTCAAACCTTTTCTCTGAAGAAAGAATTGTATGCCATACGGTGTATTAGAAGTCTTTCCCATCTTAAATGCTATTTTGGCAAAAGTACTGATGTTTATCAGTAAACTCCTCCTTTCAGTGAAATAACCAAACTGCATTCAGACTGTCAGATTATGAAGTAGCCACAGATTCCCTAAGTGTGACTTATCTTTGCAAAGGAAATCCTATCTTTCTATAATACTCGCCAATGTAATGTTTTCATAAGAGGGCTAAGTATGAAACTGAAATATTACTAAATGTTAAGGCAATACCAGAAGCCCCAAATTCTGTACAGTTATAATACTGGCCAATAATAACATACTGATGATCTGCAAAATTCTGCAGGATAACATAATGAACAGCAGTTGTCAATATTTGATTAAAACTTTTAATGTATTCTTATAAAATGTCTTAGGTGCTATTTAAAGGGAAATTCTTAAATAAGACTTCACCAGTCATCTTCCCCATCCATCAGTGCAAATGATCCAGACTGTAAAAGTGTTTCAGGTTTTTTTTTTTGTTTGTACCTCTGCTTTAACAGCTCTTTTCTCATGCTCCTTGAGGTCATCTTGACTCTTCTTAATAAGTTCTTCCAGTTTTACTTTCTTATTAGCAAATTTATTACTGCAAAACAAAAAAAGTTAAAAAAAAAAAAAAAATGAAGTAACACAGCAGTATCTAAAATTGATGACATTTTAGAGGTTTTCTATGGCTATTACTTCTCCCTTCCTCAGAACCATTAATCTGCACTTATGTTGTACATGTTGTACCTGGCACATTGTCACATTCTTGCAGCTATACTGCTGGCTCAATAGACATAACTTTGGGATTTCTCAACTAAATTTCACTGTGCAACATAATAAGTTTACAGGAGCTGACTACTACAGTCATGTAAGTTTTATTGTTCTGAATCTGTTCACATATATTAAAAATGTATCTATAAATTACACCTCGAATTCCAGCTACACGCAACTTTTATGAAGTGCTCAGATAACTATGTATACTTAGAACTACAAATTCAGATATGTAGTATGTACGTAGCGCACCCAAATTCTAAAGGGTTCTAAAATACAGGATCATATTATCAAGGGAAATATATGACAAGATTTTGCAAAGACAACTTTTAATTATTGTAAAGCCACCATTCCTGGAGGTGTTCAAGAAACATGGAGATATGACGAGAGACATGGTCAGTGGGCATGGTAGGGATGGGCTGACGGTTGGACAAGGTGACCTTAGAGGTCTTTTCTGACCTTAATAATTCTATGATTCTAAATATCTAAAAGAAAATAATATTTACTCATGGTAAATAGAAGTAAACTAGCTGAGAATAAGAGATATAAGCTGAAGTGCTTATTTTTTTTCTCATCTTTCACCCAGAGTGAAACAGACAACTCCAATAATGGAAAGTCAACAGAAAAACATAAATATTGCTGAGAGGTACAAGAGTTTTACCTGGTCTCAAGATATGTATTCAAACATGTGTTATACTGCTTCTCCTTCTCATCAATGGTCTTTGAATACCTAGAGTAATCAAACATTCATTAAGCTTGTTCTGAAAAATGTTTGCTAGCAAATACATGACCCTCTATAACCAGAGTGACAAATACGCAGCAGTGACAATCTGTACATCTTATATATCCATACTCTAAGTGCACTTAATGTACTCCTAATTAAGAAGCAAGTAACCAATGTAAGTGCCAGCTGATAATTATTCAAGAAAGATTTGGCCCAAGCTATTCATATTAAAGATAATAGTATTCTATGACAGAAATCTTCAAGTCTGTAAAACTGACAGAGACTATTAAAAACACAGACAGGATTGATAAACTTGCTAATTAAGTCAGCTTCATCAGTTATCTGGCAACTGCTGTAAATGCTTACTTGAATTAGCAAAAAAAAAAAACACCAAAAAAATTCCACCAAAACTAAAGCAGACATTCATATTTCACACACACTGTTACTGTGAAAAAGCTTCTAGCTGGCTATACAGCCAATAATAAAGTTACTTAAACACTTCTGCAGTGCTTAAAATGTTTTGGGAAAAGCTACATCAAATCCTACAGAATAAGGGCTGTTTAGCACTGGAATAGGATCCCCAGGGAGGTGGTTGAGTCACCATCTCTGGATATGCTTAGAAACCATTTGGATGTGGTGCTCAGGGACACGATGTAGTGGAGGGCTGTTAAGAGTTAGGGTAGTACAGCTGGGTTGTAGTTGGACCTAATGATCTTTACGGTCAGTTCCAACCTGAGCAAATTTATGATTCTATGTGATCTCTGAGATGTCTGGACTGTGGCTGAATGAAGCTGGTTCACATTCCTTCAGAGCCAGGAGAACTACTTGCCAGGACAATACCTGGGTTTGCTGCACACAGGACTGTGGTAAGATATTACTTATCTAAGTTCCATGGGAGGCTCTGCAGACTTCTGTTATAGGGTGAAGAACAGGTAAAAAACAGAAGAGATACATGCAGCTATGTGGTTCCTGCAGTTTTACTTCAAACTGAGAAAGAAACGATAAGCCTAGAAAGGAAGGAAATGTTCATCCCAAAATAACCTTCAGATATGCCAAGTGGCAGAACAGATAAAGAGAGCAAAGAAAGATGCAGATCAGAGTTTAGTCAGGTTGACTGAGGAGGAGGATCAAGACATGAAAACTGAAATGAATTGAAAATTTAAGACCAATCATACAGCAAAAGCAGAGCACAGTGAGGAAACAAAGTCATGAAGGAGAAAAGCAACAAAGCAGTGCAGATCTAAAGGAGGCTGGAAAACTGGAAGATTCTAAGTAGTGAAGAAGTAGTATTTATTAGGTTATTTAGTATTTACTAGGTTAAGTAACTATATTTATATCCAACTGACAGCACCTCTAATCCAAAAGTTGCATTTAAATTACTTTCAGAACTATATTATTAGAGCAAGAAGTTTGGAGTTTTCATTCTGCATACATCAAAGAATCAGTGGATATGAAATTTATCACAGTCTATTAGAAACAGCCACACGTACTGCTGCTTTTGGGAAAAAAAAAAAAATCAAGCAAAAGGACAATAATGTAATTCTGTGTTCAAAACTGGTACCTATCATTGGTATCCACATGCTTTTTGGCTGTGTTCCTCATTGCTTTTAAGTTCTCTTGACTTTCCTTTTTCTCCTGTTGCCATTTTTTTACTTTCATTTCTAAAGCTTGATGAAGCCACTCCACTTCTTTCTTAAATATCTAGAAGCGGAAAATAAGAAAACATTTCTGCAAATGGTATTCCATTAAAATGCAAGTTAGAGCAGATTGCCGACACATGATCAAAAGAAATGCCACTGAAATTTACACTGACACCTTCAATTAATTTACTTTTAGGTCACGTATTCAGCACAAGATTGTCTCCCTCTCCTTTGCCCTTATGAGGTCCCATGTGAAGTACTGCATCCAGGCCTGACGCCAGCTCAAGAAAGAGCTGGAGTGGGTTAAGAGCAGGACATGAAGATGATCAGAGGGCTGGAGCATCTCTCTTATGGAGAAAGGTTGAAGGCAGCTGTCTTGTGCAGCCTGGAGCAGAGAAGGCTCCAGGGAAATCTTACAACCTTTCAATATGCAGAGTGCTTATAACAAAGATGGACAGAGACTTTTTACCACGGCCGTAGTGTTAGGACTTAAATGGCTTTAAACTAAGAGACTGGAAATTTAGATTCAATATTAGGAAGAAATTCTTTCTTCAGAGGGCAGTGAAGTGCTGGCACAGCTGCCCAGAGAAGCTGTGGTGCCCCATCCCTGGAGGCACTTGAGGCCAGGTTGGATGGGGCCCTGGGCAGCTGAGCTGGTGAGGGGCAGCCCTGCCCACAGCAGGGGAGTGAAAATAGAAGATCTTTGAGGTCCCTTCCAACCCAAACCAGTCTGTGATTCTGTGAACGTTAAAGCAAGAATTCAGGAGATCCCAAGATGCAGTAAGAATTTGCTCCAAAAAAAAAATACACACACAAAAGGAAAATACATTAAAGGAATATTGTAGGATAGACCTCACCCCTCTTTATTAAAGAATAATGAGGGGAGATGGAAAAAATGGCTTTGGTCTAACCTGAGTTATTTATTTAAATGAAAAACTCCCTTCAAATGCAGACAAATGAACACTTTGTAGCACACTCAGCTTTAACTATAAAATCAATCCAGTCAAAGTGCAAACAAGCTGATGCTGATGTCTGGAAACTACTCTTACTCCCAGACATTTTCAAAGAAACAAGTCTGTTAGACTTCCCAACAAATAAAACACTGACCACTGGAAGTCCTTCTCCTCAAGAAGAGGGAAAGTGTCAGTAACACAGAGCTTTTTTTATTCTTTAGAATAAGAACCAGTACCTATCCACTAGACGGATGCAACCAGTTTTCTATTTTCACTTAAGTGTGTTCTTAAGACAATACACAAAGATTTTCAGATCTGCTGAGTAAGACTTCAAAGCTATGAGGACCATCATTCAAGTTTCAAAAAACAGTGTTGACCCATTAGAACCAATACTGTCAGCCACTGCAGTTTATCTTTGCTAACCCCACTGTTGCACAAGTAAAAATGTTACCCCTCTCTCTTGAACAGTCTTCTTTATCAGCTCTTCTAAAACACTGATTTCTTCTGAGCTCCGGTTTTGTAATTGTTCGTATTTTTCCTGTGCTTCTTTAAGTTGTTCTTTTAATACTTGATGCTCTTTTTCCATACGCAGAATATCTCCCTGAAAATAAATTAGTTACAGAAAGTAATTCAGAATCTACGCACAGAGCAGCAAACACTCATGACAGTCAGTTAGCTGATATTCAAGACTGTGAGGATTTTTTGGTGTGCTTTTGTTGTTGTTTTGTTTGGGAGTTTTGTGGTGGTTTTGCTTTTGTTTCTTTAGGACAGAGAAATCTGTGTAACAGAAATGAACATCCGTGTCTGAAAAGACTGGAATATGAAGAACCTGTAGATCATATTTTTTAATTCTGACAGACACGTAAAGTTGCCATTATCATCAGCCTGAGATGTCTCAGTCTAAATCTTCCAATTTAAATCAAACTTCAAGATTTTTTTGAGAGGAAATTTCCCTAGAATATAGTCCAACATCTGATGGCTACAGTACAAAGCTCCAAAGCCTCCTTTTTGTGGGCCTAGGTGAAGTTTGTGAGGACATTACAGATCGCAGCCCAACACAAGCAAAAGAAAATAACCCTGAATCAAAAATAAGTTTTAGAACATTGCATTTCCAGAAAACCTTTATCTTCATGCTACCATTGGACACTCCTTTAAACTTCTTCATGAGAAATATGTAGAAATAAATATACAGGTAACTTACTTGTTGCTTCTCAAATGGATGAAAAGGCAAAGTATTAGTTTCCCTATCAGTTACTTCATTATTCACCTAGAACACAAAGAATCATTAACTGATTAGAAAAATCTCCTGTTTACACGTGCAACTGTTATGCCAGCTCTGTTCTGGAGCTTTTATATCTACCCAACAACTCTACGCATCTGACTACATTATGAAATAGGTTTACCTACAATGCAGCAGGAAACTCTGCATATATTCCCAAAATGGACTTGAGGCTATAATGAAAACACTTTTTTTCCCTAATGTTTCCCCAATTTCAATTGACCGAAGCATTATACTGGGGACAATTCTGACAGTCTTCAAACACAGCTGTGCTCCATCTAGGCACGTTCACTCTATTTGCATTCTTAAGACTGGCGAATCCAGTGTCGGATTGCTGACGGCTCACAGAGCAGCTGTGTTTTGTTGCTCATGATCTACGACACAAATGCATCTCCTCAGAAGCAACTAAACTCAACGACCTTTGGAATTGGTGCTTGTTTTCTTCCAGCGTTGCTCATTAAGGACTTACTGAAAGAACTGAAGTTTAAAATTTAATCATGCAATATACTGAAGATTCAGTTTATGTTACAATATTAATATGCTATTAAAATCATAGCCAAATGATGGCAAATGCTTTGCCACACCGCACTTCCACAAACATATCTGTTGCATTCTGACCTTTCAAACTCTGCTAACCAGAATTCACTGAATTGAAAACTGTTGCTGTCTTCTGCTCACAGTTTGTTAAATGTGCTCAAAAACTAAAAAGAACTTCCAACTTAAAAGCCCTGTTAGCCAAGTAACTGAATTCATTTGCCAAGTCAGCAACTGCTCGGGAAAGATTTCAAGTAAGTAAGTGCAAACAAAACAAGTCTGGGAAAAAAAAAATAAGGGTAACAATGAAACACGTTAACACTTTCATAATTTAGAAAGCAAAAACAAAAAGATGACTGTCTCACAGTTATAAGAAGTTTTCTCCTTAGTAATGAGAAACAAATTAAGATGAGGAACTTCTCTACAATCACTCTTCTAGCATGTTGGATAAGCTACCATAGGAACGGATGTAAGAAACTGCCGTACCTGTAACACTGGAAACCTGTCACAAAGTGCACACAAAGTGCATTCTGTAACAAAAAATAAGTACTAGAGAACACTAAATACTATTATACAATACTCCTTTTATTTGGGTAGCTTGAAGTATTATTGCTCTTGAAACACACAACTGACCCTTCAGGAAGTTATAAAGAAATCATCCCAAAAGGAGCTGCACCTTCCACAGCTGCAGAAACATAATGCAAGATTTCAACACCATCTTTTGTTACTTACACTCCTTTTAAAGGAGTGTTCCATTTTAATCTCTTACCTGAACAGCTACCATCCTTGTATGTGGGCTGTTTTTCATTACAGGTATACCTCTGCTTTCTTTTTCCTTCTTAATCACCTGTATATCACGTTCAGTTTCATTTGTACTATTTGCAACAGCAAAACTGTCTTCATAAAATGTGCTATCGGAGTTTTCCACCAGGCACGGAGGGTCTCTGAATGTTTCTATTTCAGCTGGTATAAAGCTGCTGCTGACATATTTTCTGTCTGAAGTTGCTAATTCATCATTATCCTGATGAGTAACACCATCAGCATAAATATACCCAGGTTGCTTGGCAACATTTGACAGGAGAGGCACTGGAGAAGTCACTGGCGATGTTCTTTCACACTGATAACCCCAGGAAGTCTGTGGCAAAAGTCTGCTTTGATTCTGAAAGTCTCGATAAAATAAAACTTTTGAAAAATAAGGCATATTTTCAACAGGATCAATATCCTGACTAAGCACTGATTGCCACGAAGTAGGCAAAGAATAGGGCAAATATTGTGGAGTCTCACAGCTTTCTAATGGTATGTCAGTAGATGCTGATATATGAGGTTGCTCAGGATAAGACAGTGGTTTGAATTCCTCAGCAGCTGGATTTAACTGTATCTTGTTCTGGAAAGAATTTTCTTGCGCATCACAGACGATATAATTTCCTTCTTCATCATTTTCAGTCTCATCTCTGTTTTTATTTTCTTTAATAAGAATATCATGCCTTAAGCTAATAAAATCATCCACCATAACGAAACGATGGGATTTCAGAAGAAAAGATTTCAAACCACCCTCATCTTCTACAATCTTTCGAGCTTCTTCAGGGAAATGTTCATATTCCCCAACTAGCAACTTATTATTTAATTCCATCGGGCCATGCTCTTCCAATATCTGAGAGAAATAGCTTTAAAAAAAAAAAAAAAAAAGAGTTGTAATTGTTTGTTAACAATTTCTCATACAATTCTCAAGCCCTATTTCACATAGAAAGCAATAAGTCTTCAGCACTACTGAAGAATGACCATTTGGAAGATGGTGTTCTATCTAAGCATAAAAATTGTCTGTAACACTGGTGCTTCTTCACATCATACTCAGCCACCTGCAGCCCCCTGAGAGCATAGGACATATCTCTATGTACCATCAGGACTCAATTGTGGCCTTTATCCAATTATGTTATTTAATAGGATGTTGCACCTAATACTGCTGCCTCCAAAAGCCCTGTTATTTAGGCAAGACGTTATTGCATGAAATCTACATACCAGTTAAATGAGAACCGAAAGGAACAAAGAAAGTGACAGTCTAAGGAAAATATGTTTGTTGCCATCAGATGACAGACACATATAAAATATGCTGTTAGTAAATTGTATCAAGATATACTTTCTATGTTGTTATATGCCATAATTTTCTCATTTAGAAATGACTATGAGTATCAATGAAACAAACAGCTGAATTCCACCTTCAGGTGTTAGAACTGTTGTCCTGCTCACTGGTTCAAAACTAAACTGCAGCCTGTCATTTGACAGACTTCCTTTATTCCTTACAAGCAGATTCACAAGTTGGAGCCTCAATTTTTCTGCACTCATCCAAAATTATGGAGTTTTCGTGCTTGTAATCATCAATCAGTTCTACAGTAGGCACCAAAGATACTTAATTCCAATTGCTTCCATCACTTCTTTCTTGGAATACTGTAACATTAATTCTCTAACATAAAGGTACAGAATTAATATGCATTTAAGCTGAAACAGTAAAACTTTTAAACTGCTAACCACAGAAATGCATACGTACCCATATAAACTTTCACAGGTTAGATTTAGATTAGCATCCAGTCTCTGACAGTTGTTACTGTTTGAAATGTCATATACAGCTTCAAATTCCTCCAGTTCCCCCCGAAGATATTCTGGGATTATACATGGTTCATAATATGTAAAACCTCTACAGAGTTCAAAAACAAAAACAAAACAAACAAACAACTCAATGTCTCTGAAAATAATGACATTCTTCACATACACTGGGAAGAGCATTAGCATATGGCAGCTACACAGATGCTAAGAAATATCCCAGTAGCAAACGTTTTCTAACAAGTAGGTAACAAATGGAACATGCACTATTTCCAAAATCATGAACTGGTAAATTTCTTACATTGAGAATAACCAGTAACTAAGAGTAACTAATGGTAATAAAGCTTAGCTGTGTCCTAGCAGCTGCTCTTCATCTGACAAATTTATCAACTACTTTCTTTCTACAGTAAAGTGGAACAGAAAGAAGATAAGTTACATGAAAGAACAGCTTTTTGGCCTAGCAGCCTTACTGGGATGGAACCTGCTCATTATTTGATTACCTCTTAGATAACATCTAACTAACATCTTAAAAACTCTAGTATCCATCATACCTGTCCCAGAAGCAGAAAAGTAATGATCTCTGGAAGCTCAAAGGAAGGTCATTTCAAGAAATACTGAGATATGAACCCAGACTTTCTAAGGTGTTTCTAAGCCTGTCTTCTCCGGTACCTGCAAAGTACTTTGGAGCTCGGGCAACAAAAGTAAAGGTGCGTGATGATACTTACAATGCATTTTCTTCCATAAACGTATTTTCTTCTTGTGGTGCTGTACTAACTCCACTGGATAATACTAAAACAGACTAATTAAAAACAGATCATTACTTTTCATCTCAGAAAATGATCCAATGTAAAGAGTATGAGTAACTTGCTTACACAGAACCTCCTTCCGTAATTTTATTGTGCTCAGATGTGAGATGCTGAACCCCAAAACACTCAACTACAATTACCTGCATTAAGCCACACTGAAAAACGTCTTTATTTTAAATTATTAGCTTCTTCAGAGCTTTCTTTAGAACATATAATACTGCAATATTCCAGCCCAACCTATCTTTTTTAATTTTTATTTACAGATTTTATCTAAATCCTAGGCGTGCTTGATTTTTTGATGAGTTCTAGTAAGACACACAGCTTCCTTCTATGGCAGAGTTTTGCCTACTGCAAAAAAAAGAAAGCACACAAATTGAATTTTTAGGGATCTCATCCTAGAAAAAACAATTTTTTATCATAATTTTTGTCGTGAAATTTGGGCAAAATTATAAAATGTTGGGGACACAGAGGAAATCAAGATGACTGCAATAAAGCAAGATTCTAGAAAAGCAGGACAAGAGATGCTATGTTTGGGATTCCATCTTATTGCTAGCAAAATCTATAAAATACTGAATGGCGTTTTATCTTAGCACTAAGCACCTGCAGCTTCAGTCAGGGTCCACAAAAATGCTCAGAAAGGCAGACAGAAACAAAATGTCAGGTTTATCTCATGAGGACTGGTAAATAGTTCTTGGTCACATTTGCTATTTATCCCTGGCAAACAAAATGGAGCTGAAATATCAATTATGTAGGTGCAGTCTGTGATTTGTATTCACTGATTATTTTTTATTTTCTCCTGTGGGAAGATCAAAGTGTGAGGACAGTGGACAGACTGAAGTTAGTAGCACACAGTTAGAACCCAACATCTTCATAAATAACTTCTTTTTTAAGTGCAGAATCATCTTTTACATTGCCCAATTCAACCTGTAACAAAATAACTAGAACAGCATTAACTGAGTCTTAATATATTTCCACTAGAGGAAAAAAAAAACACTTCAAGAAGGAGCTTCCATGAGATATTTACAGAAACCACCTCTATAGATCTGATCTCCAGTAACTCTGAAAGAAAACCATTTATAGTAAGCAGCTATAAAGTTACTGACCCGTGAGTCCTTATAGTTCTTCTTTCTGCTTTTGTTTTTACCTTTGATACCATTTGTCTGAAACAGAAATAAATAAAATTATGTAAAGCAATAATAATAAAATGATGCATTTCCAAAATCAGTCCATAAATTTAAAAGTCTCGTATTAAAATTCTGATTCTGGTTTGAGCAGGAAGGCTTCCAATGTTAAGCATGCATGCCATCTTGTTCCTCCCTCCTATGTTCTCATCTGAACAACACAAAAAGGAACACAGCTTTGCAAAACCTTATTGTTTTGTTCCTTTTCATCATTTTGCTCCTTGAACACTGAACACAATATAGACAGAACAGTGTACTTAGTAGTTTGGATGCTTACTCACTACTTGTATCTGAAATTGCGTATTTAGGCAGCTGTGAATCTGTGGCAACACAGATTTTTGTAAGGGACAAAAACAAATAGAGCTGCCAGAAGTTTCTGTCACTTCAAATTCCTATTAGGATAAGGAAGAACTAAAATGCCTCTTCAGTTTTTAATAAGACTTCATTACATATAAACATAACTTTACTAATCATAATTTAATTACAGTATTAGAAATCATTTTAGGACATAAATAGGAATATGAAGTAGAATATAATGTAGCAGGTTTTATTTAATTCTTGAATTTCTAATTCATCCAATGAAAGAGCAAGGGATTTCACACCTCATTATCATTTATATTAATTAATAACTCGCAAAGTTTATTCTGTATCAAAAGCAAATCTTGGTTTTGTAGAGATAAATTTATCTGCAGGCTAGAATAGTTCTAATTGGAAGTGCTTCAAATACGTAATTGACTGAAGTGACATATTCCTGCCAGTTAGGAATGCAACTAACATACCAACCAAAAAGTGATTCAGAACAATACACAGTTTAAGAGTTCTGGGTTTAATCTGAAAAGCATCAGTAGAAACTACAAGTGCTAAGTATATCTCACTTCAAATTTACTACGCTTATCAGCAGAATGATCTTCTAATTCCATCCTTACGATTTAATGACATTTGAAAGCAAAGCTGGGTTACATTACCCTCTCATGTGTTGCTTTGGATGTTAAAATACACAGCACAGCTAGCACTTGAAATTCTTCATGTCCTAATTAAGCACTCCCAAGGAAAAATGATGCCTCATGTCAGTCATGGTAAATACATAGACAGACAAGTCAGTAAGACTCTCTGCCTGTAAACTGGGCACACCTTCTTTTTCCTCCCAATTCCTCTACAGTTCTTCTAGAGAGACCTTTTCAACCTAACACCAAACTGCTGTGAACACCACTCCCACACACAGTATCTGCCCTATCCAAAAGGGGCAGTGTAGCACATTACTGTAGACTCGCTCGCTATCACTGTAACTCCCTCATCTCCATCCCTGAAATGTACACACTCTAAGAGCTCTCCTGTTGGTTTAATCAAAGAGAAAATCCCATACAAATACTTACTCACAGAAGAAAAAGAGTATGCAGTGCACTACTAAAGGACAGAAGCTGTTTTAAAAAGCCTCAAAGCGTAAGTCTCTAATCAGGTCTCAAGGATGATGTTAACAAACAAAAAAGTGAAGAAAGCAAGAGTCTCATTCATTTTTGCACGTTTTTCTCAACACCAAACACTTTTGTTTCTGAGCTTATATCAGAACCCATACTTAGGTTAACTTACCAATATATCTTCATTTCCCTGCTTCTTTAATATGATGGTAGGGTTGTCTGTAAAAGGATAATAAAATCACACGCATAAACCGGAATATTACTATTTAGTGTAATTCACAACTGTGAGCTATGTGATCACAGTAATAATTATTATACTCCATCAAACACCACTGAAGCATCACATCTCAAAGATTTGTTACAGAATCTTTATGCTTAAAATTAAATACTAATTCTGTATGGATTGCCTATACCCATAGACTTGTGTGCTGGCACATGATACAAACAGCAGAATGTAGCTTACAACAAAATGCCTTGGTTCTTTAAGACCATATAGTATTTTAAGCACTGAACACACAAGTTCATATATACAAGGTTAGAAATTAAAGACAATTCAGCTTTTACAGAGTATATCAACTGAGGTGTAAAAAGCAGACAAGATTCAATGCTTGTAAGAATGGAGACCTTTGCATACTTACCTGTTTTATTAAAGAATTCATCTAAAGCTTGATGAAGAGATGGAAAATTTTCTCTGTTGTCTTCTAATAGCCATATAAAACAACGAACTTTTTCTAGAGGTGGTTTTAAAAAATAGTCAAGAATTTCTTTGCTTTCAGAACTATTTGACACATAGTCAAATTTACTACCATACTTCTCATTCCAGAGTGCAGATAAAATAGAAAAGTCAAGTTGTTTTAAAAACTGTCCATACTGAAGGATAAAGTTCACTGTAGCTGTAAACCCTAGAAGAGCAGAAAAAAGCCATTGTTTCATTTCAGCCTCAGAGTTTGTTTTGTTTCTAAGTGGGATATTCTTGAAAGAGGAACAGTTTGTTCCTAAAATTAAATATATGGTAGATGAAATGGATTATGTAAAACCTTTTTAATCTTGCAAATGAAAGCTAACACAACAAATTAACTTCATATTGATTATACTCTCTGTCAACAATGAGTGCAATACATCTGAACAAATTCTTTGAAGGACATGGACACACTGGAATACTGAATCCTTATTGAAGTTTTTGGCATCTTAAGTCCATTCTACAAGTAAACAGCAGCTTTTATCTCCATCCAAGTATAAATTCAACAGCAAACTACACAGCAAGGCAATACCAAAGAATATGAAAATAAATTCCTTCCAAGTTAAGCAATCAGATAAAGTCAAATGACCAAAAAAAAAAAAAAAAAAAAAATCACCATGATACACTTTCCAGATTAAATATATAAATATTCTCATTTAAGCCTATTCAGGAGTTTTAGGATGTAAGAAAAAAATATCCATCTATATTGTTTCTTTCTCTCAAAGCCTCGCATCATTAAAATGCTTTACTTCTTCTGAAAAGTTCATCTCTGCAGAGATAAGAGGCTGCTGCTCTCACCAACAGCCATATCTACTTCTCCAGAAATCCTGCTAATGATCAAGTAACAGAACAAGAAGAAAGTTTTACTTCACCCTTCAGAGTTAAGAAAGCCAAACTGGGAAACAGGGAGGTTATTTTTCCATCTGTAGATTGAACAATAATGACCAGGTAAATTCTTGTGCTACTACATCAACACACAGCTTACCCAAATCATTAAGGTGTTTCATCCACCTCTGTAATTTGGGATCCACTTCCTCCAGCTCACTCAGGACACGGATAAAACCCCTTGTTTTCACTCTGTTTTCTTCCTGAATCAAGTAACTGATGAGCTGTTCCACCACAACATGTGACTTGCTGCTAGTTTTGCAATATGATGCGTAAGCCTCTTCACTGATTACAAACCAGGAAAGTAATTCCTTTAACAGTTTGGAGGCATCACGAACAGCTGTTTTTATCTGCTCTGCATTTTGAATGATACGCTGCAGGACTTGATCACCAGCATAACCTGCATAGTCTACAATGGGATTAAAAAAACAACAAAAAGGTTTCATGTTTGTTTTTTTTTTTAAACAGTTGAAAACATCAATTCTAAAGTACAGATAATTTGGACTAAGTGGCTTTTAAGTATTAGCTTTTTTACCACACTCAAAATAACACAATATTTAACTTTTTATATAAGCTTACTTTATCATTATAAATGTGACAGTATCTGGTTTTAAATTCAGGAAATGGAACAAAGTAATCCTTAGCACCTCAACTAGATTGCAGAGAGAAAAATATTTTTCACTTGCCAATAACAGGAAGTTCAAGCAATTGCCTGCACAAATTTATCTGCGCAGACAGCATGCCAGCCCTGGCACAGGGACAGAACTGCCCTGAGCACCAGTTCCCAGAGCAAAAGCCCATTTCTGAACATCCAAGCATACATTCAATAGTAAACCTTTACCCTGAGCCTGCCTCTTGTTCTCTGTAGAACAACAGTGGAGACACTGTGCTCGTATCAAACTACACCTTCATTATCCTTCAAGACCACACATCTACTGAATGTCACTTTGAGAGCTTAATTAATAGTACCCAGCTTTAAAAGATGTAGGCCTGAAAAGATTTTTACAAAAAAAACCAAAACCTTTAAAAACCAAGGCACTACATATTACATTTAGAATAATTGATCATTCTAACAAGGATATAATTTCAAGCATAATAAGCACATTTCTTCATATTCAAATTTACTGTCTTTCATAGAATCATTGAATTCTTTGAGCTGGAAGAGACCCTTAAAGTCTGTCTGATTCACTGCCCCTGCAATGAGCAGGGACACTCACAGCTCCATCAGGTGCTCAGAGCCCCATCCAGCCTGACCTTGAGTGTCTCCAGGGATGGGGCATCCACTGCCTCTCCTCCACTGCCTCAGCACTCATATTGTAAAAATCACCTTCCTTATATCCAATCTAAATCTCTCCTCTTTTCATTTGAGAACATTTCTCCTTCTTCTATCACAACAGACCCTGCTAAAAAGCCTGCCTCTTCCTTTCTTACAGCCTTCCTTTAGATACTGAAAAGCCACACTCAGTTCTCCCCATAGCCTTCTCCTCTCCAAGCTGAACACACCCAGCTCTCTCAGCCTGTCCTCATAGGAGAGGTGTTCCATCCCCTGGATCACTTTTGCAGCCCTCCTCTGAATGCACTCCAACAGCTCCATGTCTCTCCTGTGCTGAGAACTCCCCATCGGACGCAGTTCTCCAGCTGAGGTCTCACCAGTGCAGAGCAGAAGGGCAGGATCAGCAGCATCACCTCCCTCACCCTGCTGGCCACGCTTCTTTGGATACAGCTCAGGATGCGGTTGGCTTTCTGGGCAGTGAGGGCACATTGCTGGCTCGCGTCCAGCTTGCCATTCACCAACACTCCCAAGCAGTTTTCATCAGGGCTGTGCCCTATCCTTACATCCTCCATTTTACTGATAAGCAGGGGCTGCCATGACCCATGGGCAAGACCTTGCACTTAGATTTGTTGAACCTCATGAGATTCTCCTGGGCCCACTGCTTGAGTCTGCCTAGGTCTCTCTAGATGGCGTCCTGTTCCTCAGGCACATCCACTGCACCACACAGCTTGGTGTCATCCACAAACTTGCTGAGGATGCACTCAATCCCACTATCAGTGACACTGATGAAGATGTTAAAGAGCATCAGTCCCATTACCGACTCCAGAGGGACGCCACTTTTCACTGATCTCCACCCAGGCATTGAGCCACGGACCACCACTCTGGGTACAGTCTCCTAAACAGCTCCTTGTCCATTGCACAGTCCATCCGCTGAACCCACATCTCTCCTATCTGGAGAGCAGGATATTACGGGTGACCTTGTCAAAGGCCTTACTAAAGTCCACATAAATGATATCGCTGGTTTTTCCTTTGTCCACTGCTGCAGTTATGCCATCATAAAAAAACCACAAGTCTGGTCATGCAGCATCTGCCCTTGGTGAAGCCATGCTACTTATCCCATGTCACCTTTCTCTCTCTCTCAGGTGCCTCAGCTTAGCTTCCAGGAGGATCTGCTCCTTGGTCTTGCCCAGAACTGAGGTGAGGTTGACAAGGTCGATAGCTCCCCTGGGCTATAATTTCTACCCTTGTTAAAGACAGGTGTGATATCTCATTCTTTTTTCCAGTCACCAGGGAGTTCTACCTTTAGTACAAGTACTGTGTTCTTAGAAGTTTTAAGATCACTGAGGTCAAACCATAAACACCCAACTGAATGCTATGCAGTAGATCCAAGGATTAAAAATAAAGATATGCCATAAGAAAGTAGGTATCTAAGCTTTAAAAAACAAAAGAAAACCCACCAGTGATTTGAACATAATTTTAGAAAACTAGAGGAAACAAAAATAGTAATCTACACTGCTAATGGAAGGGCCACTCTCAAGCAAAACAGTTAAAGATGAAAAAAACTAACAAGACAGCAAGTGAGAGGTTTATATGGAGAAAGTGCCAGGATATGAGCCAGCAGCACCTCTGTGATATGCCACTTAACAGGCAGCAGGGCTCTGGAGAACTCTGAGTCTGGTTGAGTACGGGACTAACATGTATCCTCTGAGAACCTGATGAGATTCCACAAGTTCTTACAGCCTTAACTGCTGCAGAAACAAGAATAAAAATTCTCTAAGAGGACCTAAAATGACCATACAACAACAACTTCCAGTTACTTAGAAATTAAAACCAAATCTGAAATAAAAGTAATCTTAAGTGGAAATTCAAGTCCCTAAGGGAAGATTATGCAGGTCTTCAAGGGTGGTGGTGGGAGAAGTATGCTCAATATTAATAATCTGTTCTTCTGCTATCGTTTGATTTAGGACACCCAGAACACTACCTATGGTACCTTCTGCTATCTTAACACAGCAATCTGTACTTCCACATACCACTGCGATTACGGTACTGAGGCTGTTCATTTCGCATCTGATTTTCTTCTATTTTCTGTTTAGAAGAATTCAGTGCATCTTCCCGTGCACGTTTTCTTCGTATTTTTTTTTTCTTCTTTCCTTTTTAACTTCCTGAAACTGATAAAAACAATTAAACAGTGAATCTGGTGTTACTTGAGATAAAGGTGCCTAACTCCTTTGGTGAGTACATTTTTTCCATGTCTTACAACAGTTATGCACTTCCATTCTACTGCAAAATATGATTTGGAAGAGTATAAATATAGTCAAGCTACCTTTTGTTTAAGTTAGTAAGAGATCACAAACATTCATGAGTCAGATATGCAATCCTCAAAATTCCTGAAGAAATTTTTACTCTTGTTAATAACATCTGAATTAGGATTAAGTACCTGAAATAAACTTTTTTTTTTCCTTAATTTTTACTCAATATTTTGCACCAAACATGAGCTTTTGGATTTCCTTGTCAGCTTTATGCCTTGGGCTTGTTAATTATAATTCTACTTGAACAAAAAGCATAAAGACAGTTACTTTAAAGGCATATGCATCAACCTTATTAAATAGCTTTATTATATGCAGTTTTCATTTAGACTTTCTAAGCAACCAGATAAAGTTTGCCAGACAGATTTCTCTCCCACACAGTTAAATTCTTGCTGAGTTCTTCCCTTTAGCAACAAAAGGATAGAACACCTGTAACCTCAGACTGAAAATGAAGGTGGTATTCTAATCCAGCTGCACTCAACTTGAAACACTGTTTTTAATCAGAACAGGCAGTCCACTATGAGGAGTAACAAACACCCACTCTTTCAGCATTCCAATTGTTGAGCATCTTACAAATGAAGGACAAACGCAGAGAGCCTACAAATCACACTCTTCCCAAACAACGTGTTATTTCACCACCCACAGATTTCACAATGAGATGAGGTTTGAGCGAGACAGACTTGAAGATGATTACAGCCATTTATGCTCAAAAGCTATTGGCTGAAATAGCTGGGAAGTCAGTGGTGCAACGGGCAACGTATCCCTCAGTACAGACCTGTGGCAAATCAGTTTTGTATTAACTCCTATCTCACATGTTTGAAAAGAGTCTCCTGTGACCAAAATAAATACATTGTTTTTAAAATCTAAGACCACTGGAGAGTTACCAATAATTTCTTCAGCCATACCAATCAATTCTTTCCTGTGATCTCACTGTAAAACGAACGCAGAGAGCTACAGGTTTATAAGTTAATTTAAATAATTTTATGATTGGACTGTTCGGTACTTCTACTCACCCTTTCAGATGATTTAATTTTATATTAAAACAAAATCAGTTCATTCAAATACATGTTTTCAGAGGCAAAGGACAAGAACAGCTTTCCAAAGTATTTGTGGTGTTCTAGCAATTCTTTAAAAGCCATGAAGCTCAGTCCTAGAGAAAACTTCTCCTCAAATTGATTCAACCTACTCTTAAATGTTAGAGAGCTTACCTTGAACATTTCTGTTTAATGATGGCTCTTGGTAGTTCCTTGGGTTTAGTGATCTTTTGTTCAAACTACAAAAAAAGTGACATCATATTAATTAAATTTGGGTTACAATGCAGCACTGATTTTTCCTGAAACCCAACAAAATTTGATGCTTTGAAAGCAATAAAAAAAATAATACTACCACAGTGACTATGCAGACTTGAAAGCTACTTATGCTTCATGAAGGTCTACATGAAAATATCTTCAAACATTACAACTCAGCACACACCAATAGAATCATAGAATCACCAAGGTTGGAAAAGACCTAAAAGATCACCCAGTCCAACCGTTCACCTTTTCCCAATAGCTCCCACTAAACCATGTCCCTCAACACAACATCCAGCCTTTCCTTGAACACCCCCAGGCTCGGTGACTCCACCACCTCCCTGGGCAGTCCGTTCCAGTGCCTGACCACCCTTTCTGAAAAGTAATACTTCCTCATGTCCAACCTGAATCTCCCCTGCCATAGCTTAAAACCATTCCCTCTGGTCCTAATACCCAATAGGTTTTTACAGGCAAAAAAGGCAGGTGGAAAGGTAGCACAAGAAACATTGGATGCTGTTTATCTGTACTAGCGGACAAGAAGAAAATACAAAATTAGAACCTCTCTTCTTGCTTCTCATACACCAGTGCTGGTCAAGGAAGAACCAACCCATCTCACCAGACACTGCAGGAGATAAGCACATCATCCCAATAGTATTTCATTTAGTAATACTAGCACTAAGCCAAACTAATGGAGTTCCTTCCATGCTTTCCAGATAAATATAAAACACAGCTCCTCAATGACAGCTGCAACCAAAACAGTAAGGTAATGCCCATTGCAGCACGTGAAGAAGAGAACAGGCAGTTTAAGCTCCCAGCAATGCTCAGAGTCTGTAGTGAAGATAACACTTACGAGTTTGCATATTACTTGTGAGTTACGTTATCATCTTCACTTTACCTCCTTTACCAGAGTAAATATTTTAAAGGTTTAATATTTTAAAGGTTTTCATATTTTATATAAACTTTTACTTACTTCACATTTCACCAAACCAGAAGAACTGAAAATAACTATTTTTGAAATAAGGCCTGTACAGTCAGGAGTGAAACATAATTCTTGAAGAAAATCCTGCAGGAGAAAAAGATAAAACACAAAAACATGCAAATTCATGCAAATTCTATATTCTCATACAGATTAGAGCTTCTTTATTTGAGGTGAGTGAGGTAATTAAAGCTAGCATAGGCTTAGACTCCTACTGGATGAAGAAAGCAAATCACTCTCTCTCAGCTGTCTAGAAAGGAATTCCAACCAAAAGGGCTCTAGACCTGTGGCAAATACCTGCTATTCACAAAGCAAAGGCCCACCTCCAGCTTCAGTTTCAGGAGTCAACTTTAAGGCCATTACTTTATGTACTCATACCCTCCCAGAATTTCCTTTTATTTCAGATTGATTGCCAATATAATCTTCCATAAAATTACTTCAGATACAATAGATGTCAAATTGCTTCTTCAACAACAAGACCTTAGAAGGAATAAATTTTCTCATGGAAGGACGTAAATAACGCCAGAAAAAAACAGGCTAACCACATCCAGGCCTCTCTTCTGTAAATGAAAGCAAGCTTTGCATATTAGGCCATTCAGCAAGAGAATCCTCTTTCCTCTCTTCCTGTCATATGAGTAGAGTATGTAGCTGTAGCACCTCACTTATCACAAACAAAAAGAATGTTGTAATACTGACTGGACAAAGAAGAAATAAAATGCTTCTAGTCTAACACAGCTCTTACCTTGTCATTCTTATCACTGTAGTTTGCAGTTTTCAACTTCTTCCAACAGCTGGTATGAAACTCCACTCTACACCGCTGGCAACAAGTAATACGTATAAAACCCTAGCAGTGGAAAATAGTACAAGTTTAGCATCTTCAAAAACACAGAACAGTGCACAACTTAACTGAAGACATGATAAAATGTTGTGTTCATAGCTCTCTAATATGGAAAAGGACTTGAACTAAGATGTACCTTGAAGTCTGGATCTGTAAAAAATATTTGGATTTTGGAGTTGCCACGGCAATGCTGATAGCGACAAACTGCATCTGGTTCTGGAGGGAACTTGCATTCCTCAATGCAATTCTTTAAGAACAACTGAAAAACACAAAGTGATAGAAGAGAAATTGCACAGACACCAACAGAAGATCAATTGTTTTCTTCTAAGGAACTTCGCAGTGAAACAGACACCTTTTTTTGAACAGCAGGCAACTAATAGCAAAAGAACAACTCTCTCATAGTGAAAGCCATGCAAGATTGTCCTTGTACACCAAAATACTAAAGTTCATTTGAACTGCTATCAACTGAGTATACTTCCCTGCATGCAGGTTTATACAAGCTTAACAATTCCAATAGCATGTGAATACTTATATATTCAATTAGCAAAAATGATAACCCAGACAACCCCAACATAACATGATGAAAATTGACTGCTTGCTCCTGCCATTTCATACCACCTCTGGGATCTGGGTTATAACATTAAGTACATTCCCAGGAACAGCTCAGACCTGGCTCTGCAATGGAGCTAATGAGGTCTCCCTCAGCAGTGTGCGAGGTACATTACAGTGGCTTTGTGCAAAGTATGTACAAGTTCCATGGCTTTGGAACTGGCCTCAAATTAATAAAACACTATTAGAAATAAATCAATGCCCAATCACAGCCTTCAGATATTTGTATGACACTCTCCAAGAGTCTCTATAATAATAATCATCAGCAATAATCATAGAAGGAATTTTAAAGCTTTTCAATGCAACACAGTAGTTTTTAATCCTATAACCACAGTTTTTTACTCAAACAAGGAATTTTACCATACAGCCCCCAATACAATCAGTTACCAAGAACTACAGAAAGCCTCATTTTTGGAATACATATCACACAGTTTTGCTAATTCTAACTTCTAATTTGTTCTCTCTAGCTTTACTCTCATACAGCCTTTATATCTACCCAAAACAAAGTTTAATAATATGCAACCCGTGAATAACTTGAAGCAGATCAGAACTACATTATTACATAAAAATACCCAAGCACAGACTCTTAAACAGAGTTTATGATTTAAATAGCATGCTTTCTAAGAGCCACCGTAAACAGAGCTCTTCTCTACGAACACCAGCCTTTGAGTTGACAGTGCTCAAGAAAAGAAGTGCTGCACTGGCTTCCCCATGTTGAATCTCTCCCCGCTTCTGTTCACTGCTTTCTTTGGCCTTGACAATGTGAGGTGAGGAACAAAGTAAAGATGACACTCTAGAAGTCACACTACAAAGCTCTGTGTAATACATCCTTTTTGCTTTTTTTCTGGAAAGACCATTTGAGAGAACAGCACTGTTATTTTTGTTTTTAAACATACCTGTAAATTCTCTGTTCGTGTTTCTTCAATCACCTGAGATGTCGTGGGCCAAGTTAATACTCCAGGTACAATCTTACGATTAATCATGGTTTGTGATTTCATAAACTGATTGAGCGCATCTGAAAATCTGAAATTTAAAACAGGTAAAATGTTCAGATTACCTGGTGTAGGGAACCTGCTTTGGCAGGGGGGTTGTCTCGATGATCTCTAGAGGTCCCTTCCAACCCCTACAATTCTGTGATTCTGTGATCATATATCAATGCCTCTTACATGGCTCATAATTCTTTCATAATTCATTCTATGATTCAAGAAAGAAGCAATAACGATGAGCGCACATAGAATGTAAGAGCATTAAGTTACCTGGGAAAAAAGGCTATTCTGTATAAAAGAGTCATGGCCTGAGGCCGTGGCTGAATAGAGAGTCCCAGAGCCCATCCATGGCTATTAGGCAGACTGAGAGCCTGCACTAATGTTCAAGAGACCCACGAAGATGGATGTGCTCAACAATCTGGAGAGTGAGGTCATACGAATTTTCACTAGTGACCTTTGATCTCTATCTGCCAGAGAGGAAGCAGAGGACACTGCTCTCTGTATTACAGTTTTACCTGCCTTCAGACACTGTTACATGGTTGGTACTCTGTGGTAGCCTCTTGGGCAGTTGTGATAACGTCTGCACCTCTTCAAAAAAAAAAAAAGCAGCCTCCCTGCCAGCCAAAACTGCAACAGGAAGGAGCAGTCACATCCACAGGACTTGACACAGTCACCTCCTGTGCCTTGCAGAGAACTTGGATACACTGCAGCAGCAGGAAGGAAGAATCCTCTCACAGAGTCCAGCACGTCCTGACCAGGTTCATGCAGATATTCCACAAGAGGGCTGAATGTTTGATGTTAAACTTACTTATTTGATAAATTTGGCATTGTATTGTGTTTACATAGCAATGACTGGGGCTTTGTCTGGCAGGAAGTGTGTGCAGTGGCATCCAATGTCAATCTGCCATAGGCAATTCATGAGATCTTGATTTAGTGGAGCAATATACTGAAATCATGACACAAGTGTAACACAGTAACCGCAATATGCATTTGAATCATGTGCAATCATGGTTCCCATTACTAGACTCTCTGTGCTCACTGTCACAATGCCAGGCATTTCCAGTTTCCAGGAAGGAATATGTAGGCTGATGCCAGTTCAAGCCTGCTGCTCTCTTCAAAGCTGGTTAATTGTCCAGTTTTCACACGCTGGATCAGGTTGAGCCATGTATACACTCTTCCCTCTACCTAACTCAGGAATCTCTTTGTTATTTATCTCAGGGAACTTAATGACTCACTGGTACAGCTGTCTTGGCTAAAACCAAGGCTACTCTTCATCCTCCCTGATCACGCAGTAAGTTCAGCTTTCTCTCCAATGCCTGCATCCCAAGCTCATCATTTTCTTTGCCTAAGAGGCTCATCTCCACTGTGGAGGCGTGCTGGTCAGTCACATCCCCACAGCATGGAGACTGCTGGATTCAATTGCTTCTATTACATTTTATTTTCTATTACATGATAACATCAACAAAACTGAAGTTGTAACAAATCACCCTGATGTTTGAATCTGCTGATTAACAAAGACTAATTACAAAAAAACCCAAAACAAAAATAAACAACTCACACATGCATTTCTCAAATGAAAAGAGCTTTTGTATCCAATACTGAAGTTTTATTTTACACTGACCGGTTTTGTCTGAGGTATACTTTTCCAATTCCATAGTATGCCAGACAATCAAATCTTTCTTCCTGGTAATGTACAATTATTCTTTTAAACTGGTCTTCAGCCTTCATCAATGCCTTGGAAATAAATTTAAGACAAACATGAGATATTTAGACAGCAACTTTGTTTTTTCCTCTTATTTTTCCTGCAGTATGCCCTATTGTTTGTTTTGTCCTAAGGGTAAAAAAAGAAATTAAGCAACTTTAGGTTCATGCATAAAGGACTTTAAAAACAAGGGATCTAAAAAGTGACGAGCTCATTAAGCTACAAATGACCAGTTAGTTTTTCAACTCACTGAAAGACACTGAATATTTGTAAACAGCACTGTAGGTAAGGGAACTACTTTCTGTTTTGGTGTTTTCAAGAATCAAAAGCATCGTCTCCATCTTTTTTTTTTTTTTTTTTTTTAAATAAAGAATACTACGTAACTACATTATAACAAAGATAAAGAAAAATAACTGACCACTTAACTGATACTTAAGAATCTCACTTGAAACTTTAAAAAGAAATTTTCTTATTTGGTAGTTTAATTTGTCCACAACTATTGAAGACCCAATCCTACAAAACATGACTTTACAACCCATGATAAAAGCTTTCCTTCCCAACTCATCTTATGTCTGTTAAGAGCTAAGACAAAAATGGATGACCAACCATCTGAACTAGAACTTCAAATAAAAAGCAAGATAGTGGCTTAATGTCATACCTCGGGCTGTCCTATTCCAAGAAGAGAAGTGGCATGTCCATAGATGATTACAACATAATTAATAATACGAAGATTCAATTGCTGCAAATAGAGTCAGATTATAGAAATAGCACAAAAACACTTGGCTAGTAAAGAGTACATTACTGACTACTGCGAATTGAAGATCTACAGCAGGCGTAGAAAACTATCATAGCTTTCAAGCACATTAATGTTGCATTTGACATGAAGAGCAAAGGCTAACTACACCTTTATCTCAGCCATTTGGCAGCCTTAATTATTTCAAAATGATACATCCTGAAGTGTCTGCTTTTAGAAATACTACAGCCTAGTATGTTGACTACATGTAGCACAACGTACCTTGGCTAGATGTCATGTTTAGAATTGTTTCTTTTCATTTGAAAAACAAAAACAGAGGAAAAAAACCCACAAACACCTTATCTCAGACTTCCTAATAAACTAGGTCACAATTCCAGATGGATTGGTGCATTATTTGCCTGGTAATGCAGTTAGTGCAGTCTTGCTCTTGGCACTATGATACAGCCAGCTTGCAGTACACATGCAGAGAGATGGTCACATAAAACCTAGCACTACACATCAGGTTGTTTTTTTTTTTTTATTGCTTGTTTGATGCTGTCTTTTAAGAAATCCAGGATGACAAATGGCTCAGGGGCAGAACGGCTAGACACACGCACTCAGAAATTCTAATACTTGCATCAAGGAATCACCTGACAAGAACAACATAAATGCTTTTCACTCTATAACACAATCAGTAGAGGTTAAGCTATCAGGGCAATCGTTGCATATTCAACATTTTGACAGATACTTTTAAAATTTCATCTAGAAATGCACACGTACACTGAGCATTACAAAGATGCATCATATGATCCCATAATTACCCTGTTCTCTATTTCTCTCACTTTTAAGCTCCTTGACACACATACTGCAACGTATAACACGTAGTCAGTGTGATGGGCAACAATTCAATAATAATGATTTATTTTGGTGGAGGGAAAGAATGACAGATGACAAATTCACATACAACGAAGTATTGAAAGCATAAAGCTCAATTACCTCAATATATGAATTAATTCCTTTCAATTTACCTTTAATTCTGAAGGATCAATAATATTCAACAATTGTGAGAACATCTGTTCAGCACTGTGACACCTCTGGTCCATCAAGGCTGTATAACCATCATGAATGAGGGATTTAACCACTTCAAGCAACATAGTTGAATCCACCTATAATGTTTAAGAAAGCAGCTACTCAAAATGAAAACAGCATCTTTTCTCCCCTCTTCTTCTTTAGAAACATCAAATTCAAATAAAGCATTATCTTATCACTTTGTACAGCAAAATGCAGATATGCTTTCCCCCCACTTGTACATTCCTTGTGCAGAAATGTATTTCCAAAGAGCTGAGAATTACTTTTCCCACTTTGCTGTTTCTCCATTTAGGTTACAAGTTAATGCTTGAAGGCTTCATATTGCATTAGGTTATCAAAATTTCATTACAGCTCCCTACTTAAGTCTGGGGAAGCTGCCAGCAGTAAGACTTTATATTAATACAAACAATTGAAGAATTAGAAACTTCTGTTCCCTTCATCTACCTAAACACAAAACATAATGCTAGCTTCGGAAAGCAGATTATCGTGCTAACGTACAAATTCTTCTGATCATTTAAGAAGCTTCTCTAGCACAAGCAAAACCAAACAAGAAAAAGTGATCTGGTTAACGATTACAATAACTTTGTAATTCCTGTATTCCTGTGAACTGAATTAACATTTTGGCATGCTAAAACTAATGGATGTCCAGAATGTACTTCATGGATCATCCATGATACTTGATCATGTTTTGTTTTCATCGTGATACCGAGCTACAAACACAAGGGCTGCTCTGAAAGCAGTGTCTTCTATTATGTTGGCTCACAACATCAGAGACGAATGTTGGTGGTAAGAGCAGCAGAGGGTGAACTTTCCCATCAATATTCCATTAAATTTTGTTGCCATGTGATAGATGGCAGCAAAGGGGTGCTCTGACAAGATGGCATCTGACATGGAAATGTGTACGAAACAAAGGGGTGTTACTGAACAACTGCATGTAGAAAAAAAATGGCACCCACTGACATTCACTGATGCTTGCTGAACACTGGAGACCAAAAAGTGGATGTGAGCACAGTGAGGCACTGGGTGGTGTTCCAGCAGTGGCAAGAGAAACAGTGGGTCACCTGCACTGGGACAGATTTTTTTTTATAAGCACAGCATGGAGGCTCCTGTTCATCAGTGGCAAAAACAAATAGTTACTGGCGGTGAGTGTGTTGACATAGCATTTTTGTAGCTGAGAATTTGCTCTATCAAGCAGCATTACTGTGCTCTTTGTTGTAGTTTTCATGGAAATAAATGAAGCATTACTTTTGAAGCAACCTATATACAAAAACATCATCTCCACAACAGTTTTTGCCTCCTCTTCACAGAATCACAGCATGGCCAGGGTTGGAAGGGATCCTCAAGGATCATGAATCTCCAACCCCCAAATTTGAATAAAATAACACTGCTGTCATGTGCAAGCATGAACACCAGAGAACACCTCCATTCATATTCCATTTTAACTAAATTTTTCTGTAACAGATTTCAGATTAAGTTCTTTCAGTTGGATGAAAAAAGTTTGATCTAAAAATGAACTAATTGTCCAAATAAACTATGCACTGTAAGTACAGAGTATTTGGTGGTTATCAGATAGATGGATGCATAAACCCCCAATGATCTCAACATTAAAAACATGCATTTGAAACATAACTAGTAAGGTTATAAGTATTTAGGCATTAAGTAGTTCTGAGAGAAGTTATGAAACCACAGAGACTTCTCCTGATGCCAAATAAAAATAATCTTGTTGCATTTTCTTCAGGGTCACACACACAGAAGTTTTCTTTTTCCTAACTAGACAATATTTTGCACAGAGTATTTTAGCATGGACCATGACTAAGACAGCTGCCTTTTCACCAAATTAAGGCTAGATAGTGGTGGAAAGGGAAAAGGAGAAGTAAAAAGGGCTACCAGCAATGAAACAGCATAAATCAGTGCTATCATATGATCCTTGTTCCCTGATAAAAATCAGGCTAAATGTGAAATGCTAGGTTTTTGAGTGAACTAGGATTCTGGACATTACTAAAAGGAAACAAATCATTTACAGTTAATGTCATATGCTAAGTAATTCCCCAAGTTACCTGGTGCACAGTACAGAAGAGTTTATCTTGGATGGTTTTAGACTCTATCTTCAAATCAAGGTGATCCCTACAAACAACAGGACAAGGGTATTATGAGTTTGTAGATGTACTTTACATGTACCTAAACTCTCGAGAAACAGAAGTGCCTGTACTTTTATCACCAACATCACACACTAGCCTATATGACAGAGGTTATCACAGCACACTCTGCCACAACAGCAATAAGAAGTACTGGAATTTTACAAAGGATTATAACACTATTCAACCTTATGGCCTGGGATTCACTAGGGCTTCAGGGAAGTAGAGGCCTTCTCCATGATTTTAGTCATTTTATTTGATCTTCTCTACCTCACTGAACTGTTTTCACGAAGGCACTATCCAGGTGACTTTCCAACATCAAAGGTTAAAGAACACTTTAGGCCTCTTCCCCTTTTTCTGAGTACAAGATCCTTCATTTAATTACAACATCTACTTAATATCAATTCCACATGGCAGTTTGGCAGAGTGCAGGCAAGGAAAACACAGAAGAAAAAGAAAGGAGTTCTTTCCAGCTATTTGTTTTCTCCTGCTGGAGCACAAAGTCAACACACAACTGATCAACAGAGAAAGCATAATTCAGAGGCAGAGTACTGCTTGAAACTCTAAATCAAATCCCCAGTGCTAACATTGCAACTCAGTCCTCAATGTTACTATATTGTCCAATATACATTTAGCTCTGTCCCACATTCAAAGGCATCACTCATCTCCTGGGAAAAATGCTTCAGAGTGTCAAAGGATCCTCAATTATTTTTGAAGCCAAGCAACTTGCTAATTACAAAAGTGGAGATTTGACTGTAACTGACCACACACCTCCCTTGTTAGGAAATACTGTATTTTCCCAAGTCTGAAGCTTTACTGTGAGAGAAGCAATTTTGTAGATGGTTCTATTACTTTAAAGAGAACTTGTTCCCATAGTGACTTCTAAAGTTCAAGGCTTATTTCCCCACTAAACTGAAAGAAACAACTCAGAGGCAACCAAGTTAAATGGAATAAAGGACCTCTGCCACATGAAGGTTTCAAATGCTCCAGCTGTGTGGTATTCAAGAGTAACAGAGGGGGAAAAAAAAGAATTATACAAACAAAAGAACACGAAAGAATATAAAAATGCAGATTATAAGATGATAGGTTTCATGGTGACACTTTAACTTGGACTACAGGTAATCCAGTTCAGGTCCTTGGTTTCCTAAAGGTTTGCCCCCTCTTCAAGGTAAGAAATCCACACTTCGACAAACAACACTTAATGGAAGCTCAACTTTTCTATGTCAATGTAAACAACTTCTTTTGCTGTATCCCCTATGCAAACACAAACTGAAAATATTAGCTCAAGAAGCTCATAACCAAGAACGTAGTTAGAGCACAATTAGTCTCATCCCACATTTTTCACACTCTTAAATTTTAGAATGTATGGAAGCACGTGTTTTGCACATAAAATCTATAGTGCTGTTCACATCAATTGATTTAATACTGGCTCCAAACCATTAAACATATTGATTAACATTCAAGAAAGGTATCCACATTCTAAAGATTAGGCAGCAATGTACTTCATGCCAAGATGCAAGTTTTGTGAAAGTACTACAGAACTTCTTTAAGTACAACTTCTTTTCTACTAGCAAACAAACTGACTTACAATGCTCTCTTCATGGTCAAATCTCTTATTTTGACTAAGTGCAGGAAGAATGAAAAAGGTTTCAAAGATGATTTGGCACACAGAACAAACAGTACAAAGAGACCTCGAAAACAAGATATTGCCTGAGTTATGCTGTGACAAAAGTTTGAATGTAACAGTAAGAACAAGATTGCTATTATCTTCTGCTGCAAAGGAAACACATTGTATTGGTAAGCTATGTCACGTTTTGCTTATGGGAAACTTTTTAAAAAGAAAAACAGTAGCAGAGATTAAGTTTACGCCTTCCTTTTCTGAAGTTCAACTGAGATTCATTAAATATTTAGTTTTCAAAGAAGAATTCAATTTCTGCATGAAGTTGGAATATTGGGAACTTCAATGTGCTGTCTTAATCTGAATTATATTCTGAAGAAGATATAAACAATATAAATACACAATAGTGTATACTAGGTTTTAATTAAGGATTGTTTTATCAGTTTTCAGCTATACTTTATTCAGTTGTCTTCTTTTCATACCAATCCTTTATTACAAAGGTAAGTTGAACTACCAGCTTTAATCACTTTGTCTGACATTCTACTGGACACAGATTTTCAGTATGCAGGCACCACACAGCATTTCTAGAAGTGGAAAAAAACAGCACCCACTGACACTCACTGACACTTGCTGAACATTGATGGAGACCAAACAGTAGATGTGAGCACAGTAGGGCAGCACGTGGTGCATTTCAGCAGTGGCAACGGCAGCACGAAGGACTAGCCACATTCTGGATGGGCCATGCATAGCTGCCACACCACAAAATGAAAAGCATCTCAGTCAGCTCATCTGTGCAAATGGGCAGATTACAACCAGGGAACTGTCTAAGGAAGTGAAAGTCAACTGCACTGCACTGGGAACACTGGTGGTGACACGGGAATATCACAGTTTGCACCAGGTGAGACCCATGAATGCTCACATGGGAACGGGAAGAACACTGCATGCACATTTTTCAGGATCTACTGAACCTATGAGGCTGAAGGTAACAATTTCCTGAATCATATCATTACTGGTGATGAGATGTGTGTCACCAGTATGAGCTGGAGCCAGAACGACAGTCCACTGAGTGGTGACATGTGAATTCCCCACTGAAGAAAAAGTTCAAGATGCAGCCCTCAACAGGTAAAGTGATGTGCCATGTCTTTTGGGATAGGCAAGAGGTGATCTTTCTGGATTTCCTGGAACCCACACAAACCATCAACTCTGACCACTACACTGCAATGACAACTAGGCTGAAGACTTCAACTTCCAGAGTCAGACCAGAGAAGAAAATAACCTTTCTCTTGCAATACAATAATGCTAGGGGCCCCATACCTGTTTGAAGACAGTGGAGCATGTGGCCAGTAGGACTGTCCTACTACACCTACAACATGGATTTGGTGCCTTCTGACTTTCATCTGCTTCAGACAATAAAGATAGGCAACATTTTCCCTAGCAATAACCCTGTCAGAGCAGCTGTGAAGCAGAGTCACTTTCAGTGGTGAAGATTTTTACGAGCACAGAATGCAGGCTCTCACTCATCACTGATGAGAATGAGTAGCTAATGATAGTGACTTTGCTGAAAATAAGAGTTCTGTAGCTGAGAATTTTCTCTATCAAATAGTGTTATCATGTTCTTTGCATCCGTTGCAATTTCCATGGAAACAAATAGGAGGTATTTCTTTTAGAGCAACCTACATATTCACTATAATTTATTTCTACACTAGACATAAGAGGTAAAATTTGTTCTTATCCAAGAAAAAGAAAAAAGCAAAGAACAAGCAGCAAGTTAAAGCTTCTGTAGCCCTTTGATTGCTTCGTGACTCAATGATAAAAAATAAATAATTTTAGTTCTACTAAATAACTTTAAAAATTCTTACTGTTTCTTCTCAGGTTCACCAGGTTTGTTCTTCGACCTTGCTTTGTATTGGTGACTTTGTCCTGCAATGGGAAAAAAGTAGTATTTCAAACACAATGATCATCATATAAAAAAATAAAAGATAAATCTAAAACTCGTATTTTGCTTTATAAATAACAGATCTAAAATATTACAATATTCAGAGCTAGTAGAATTGAGAAGTTCTTTAAAAAGCCAGAGTGTTACAACATAAGTTTCATATTATTTTTATTACATAGTAAGTATAGAATTTTACTAACTCTACAGAAGGAAATGGATATTTCAAATGAACAGAATAATCTTGAGATTGTCTAATGTATGATCTGATTCCAATACTGTAACAGCTACTGATGCAGACTGCAAGCCAAAGAAATCATGTATGTTACACAAAGCCAACACTGATATTTTGAACTACTAGATGATAACTACAACTTATAAAAGGTAATAATGGATCGCTTTGGCTGCAAAGTGTCTTCATCCAAGCTTAAGTACATAAATTTTACAGAAAGCCTTCTACTTCAATAAAACATTTCTAGAGAAGCCCAGTACAAGCCACTTTAACACCAGAATTCCTAACATACGAGTCACATTGAGATAAACATCCCTGATTGTAACTTACAAATGTTTGACTATGTGAAACCGCTGGGCTACAACAAGAATGAATCTATCATGGTACTGGTTAGTTTCCAGCTCTGAAACTGCATCAAGGACTATGCAAAACTCTCACTTACTCTAGAATTTCCAGTATCTGTAGTTAATTAGTTACCCTGCTCTACAAAGTAAACAAGTCGCTAGGAACAAGGAACAAAAAAAAAAAAAAAAGTTCTAACGCTTAAATGCAATTGGTCAAAACCAGGAAGTAAATCAACTGTTTTCTATGGAATTACAAAATAATGTAAGACACTTGAATGTGCATATGCATGCTTGTAACAAAGCCATGAAGCGTTTAATTTTCAACACTTTCCAGTTAGAACTTTACAAGGCTTTAACAACTCAACAGCAACAGTGAAAAAATCCAGTTATGTGAAGAGCTCCCTTCTGATAAACAAGCAATTCACAAGCAAGGCAAAAAGTAGGATTTCTGCACCGGCAACCAACAAGCAACTGACAAATTCAGCTACAGAACTGTAGAGCATCACACATTACATGAGTTCCAAATTATTTACATTAAGATGAAGAGGGCAGGTTTTTTTGCAAGTTAAACCTAATTCATTTTATAAGACGTAAAAGCAACCCTTTCTCTATCCCACCTATGTGTTGGAAGAGAAGACTGTTCCAGCTATGCTCTTCTAGTCATCTCCTGATGACTGTGGTTTCCTAGCACTGGACTGCTTCACACCAACAACACACATTCCAGAACCTGGATTTAAGCTATTAGAGCACTTGAACCCAAAAATAAAGTACGGCTACCAAATAAATCGAGCAATTGTTCAATTACCACAAAGTTCAAGATGAAAGAGGAGTTAATTTCATATATGAAGCTTCAATAATCACCTAGTCTTTAAAATGTTTATGTTACTCAGAAAAGTCTTCTATGCACTTGCATTTTAAATTTATATAGCATATATGTATTTTAAAATATTAAAATACATTGATCATAGAAAAACAGAGATCTATCCATTTGACTAATCTCATTCAGGACAGCAGAATGTTCAACACGCTTATAGCATTGATTTTTCTCTGAAAACTACTTCATTACAGAAAATATGAATTAATCCAAACAAAATTCAGATGTCACAAAGACTGAATATGTTCAGAACTATTTAACAAACCATTTATTGAAAGTGACACAGGAGTATGAACAGGTGTCTGCTGAAACTGTTCACACACATTCAAAACTCCAAAGTAACACTAATAGTCATTATGAATTCTAAAGACATTAAATTTAAAGACGATTAAATGATGGAAAACAATATTTTCAGAGTCAGACATTTCAAGCATATAATCAGTTAACCATTTGGAGGTAAGTATCTATTCCCTTCTCTTCATTAAATAAGTTTCTGTCCGTTAAGGAATTGATATATCATCCAAAACAAAATCTTAATGAAGATAAAGCAATAAAAACCTTTCCTTGCACAAAATAATTAATCAACCTAATTACTTCATACTAAATGAACTTAACATTAAAAACCAATAAGTAAAAATGATTTTAGGGAAAAATTTCCTGCACAAATGATCACTCTTACAGGAGTGATCGCAAACAAATTAAGATCATCCCTGAACTATTTTCATTATAATTGAGCATGATTTACTCACTACTTTCATTTCTGAAGACACTACTTTTAGATTTTAAAAAGTACTTTTAATTCAATAGCAAGCATAATTCACTTACCCCACCAACATTTTAAAGTATCACTACAGGTAGCACTGCTTTTCATAGAGATTCTCATTAGGGACAAACAAATATATTTAACAGAACTATACACATGCTCAAAAAAATAGTACATGCAAACAAAAACCGTAACGAAAAAGGACAGTACTGTTAAAATGAGATACAGTGGCATAAAGTTCCTTTACATGAAACCTCCTGCAAGTCACAAGCCTTTCTGCAAACAAAGAATACGAAAAAGAAAGTTGTTCTTCCCCACCCACACTAAACATGTATCAGCTAGTCATTCAATGCATAACTCCTCCTTTCACACCGAAGCCAAATCAAATATTTCCTTCTACATCAGTACTGACATAATGAGTATCAGGGGGGAGGAGGAAGCAAGAATAGAAAGAATAAGTAGGGAATCATTCACGGGTGTTTTTTTTTCCCCCCCCGACGACTTCAACACATTTCATAATCCTACAATCTCTTCAGCTTGGAAGAACTTGCAGTTCTCTCCCTGCATTCACTCTTTCATTATCCCTCTTTCTTCCTTAACCTCTCTAAAATGAGTTATTCTTCTCGTTCACAAAGAAATGAACCCAGGCATTTTACTTGTCAGTTGCTTCAGACTTGTTCAAAAATCCTTGTGGCCACAGTACATCTCATATTTTTCTTGTTAACACTGATACCTGGAAATAAATTCAAGGCCTTCAGCAATTAATCCAAGCTCCTCAGCAAACTGACATTGTTTTTTTCCTCCCTAGATAAATGGGACATCTGGAGCCTAACAGCAGATTCTCAACATTCCACAAGCCTCGAGGAGGTACGCTGTATTATCAACTGAAAGTTGATAGTACAGGCACCCTAACAAGGTTGAACTGCTAATCAGAAACCTAGTTAACAGACGTGTTTTTTTGTAAATAAGTTCCTGACCATCTATGGGATCTGGCCTAGCACACAATCTTTTGCCTGGATAACTCCTCCCCATGCAACCTCAGGACCACCAAAGACCCCCTCACCAAAAATCCATACTAACACAGTACGTTTGAAGCATTAATCATAGAATTGCTCAGATTGGAAAAGACCTTGAAGATCACCGAGTCCAACCACGACCTAACCATCCTACCCTAACTCTAACAGCCCTCCCCTAAATCATGTCCCTGAGCACCACATCCAAATGGTTTTTAAACACATCCAGGAATGGTGACTCAACCACCTCCCTGGGGAGCCTGTTCCAGTGCTTTACAACCCCTTCTGTAAAGAAGTTTTTCCTGATATCCAACCTAAACTTACCCTGGCACAACTTGAGGCCATTTCTCCTCATCCTGTCACCTTAGATTTTAATATGTACAGCAATTCTAGGAACAGGTGGGCACCTCATGGAAACTGTATGAATATTCACCTGTTACAATGTATAAAATCTGTGTGCTTTAGATCTTGGGAATGTACGCTATTCTCTCCTTTAATAATCCCACCCACATTATGTTAGATATTTAGAAACTTTCAAATGGGAAAATACAGGTAATGGACATAATCTTCTCTAGGAAAACAGGGGGTACTGTCTGTGCTTAAACAACACAAACAGAGGATCTTCTGATTCTACTACAGCAAAATGTCTTAGCCAGCGATGTTATCTGATTAATCAAGGACAATTGGCTCCACTTGGAGAATTGCGAATTGGAAAACTTTTCACCTTGTTCCTACATGACCAGATCAGAATAAAAAAAAGAGGAACATTCCCCAAACGGCCATCAGGGTTGCTGAATACCCACAAAATAACCCCACAGAAGCACAGACAGCCAGGAAAGTAGCCATGACAGAGTATGGATTGTTTAACCATTGTTTGACAGATGACAGAGTATGGATTGTTTAACCATTGTTTGACAGATGACAGAGTATGGATTGTTTAACCTTATGAAGGTAATAGGTTTTTCTTCTGTATTAGATATGTATTTGGGAATTCAATTCATAAATGCAGTGCTTGATTTGTGAAAACTTCCAGCAGTGCCCAATCCCCAATAAAAAAGCAGCATCTCCCCTGAGCATGTGTGGATAGGCTCATTGCACACCAGCTAATAAATCCACTTTCCTGACACTACCACTTAACAACCTTTCAACAAATTAGCCTTGACTTTTTCTTTGAAATCTTTCTACGTTTTCTATTTCATTATAAATTAACTAGTACTTCAAGATATTTGCATACATCCAAAGTCTATAAATCAGGATTATTTTTTCCTACTACTGGTTTTTAAATAATATTTTGTAATATATCTCTATTTGTTTCCTAAGATCAATTTTTGAGATGCTTCATACTTTGGCATCTGTTCAGCTAAGTACTCAAGCATGTGAGGTCTACAGAAGAGCACAACTGAGCACTTCATCAACCTGCAGACTTCTCCCTGGTCAGAACTATAGAAGGACCCACTGCAACAGAGGTCAATGGAGGGAATACAACACAGACACGCACCTGGGTCCAGTAAGACAGAAAAAATATTCCACATAAACCTTATAACTAACAATAATTTCTGGATGTCAGACAAGTCTCTTAGGCATTTTCAATTCAAATAGGTTTACCAGATGATAAAAGCAGACAAAGCTCAGGAGAATTCACTTTGAAGATGAGAACTGCTCCTGCTTAAAACGAACACACTCACCATGGGAAGGTAATTTCAGGACTGTGGTATATTTGGGGTTAGGATGTCCTTCTACAAAAGTGTTCTTTTAATTTAAAGAAACACACAAACAATAAAACATACCAGCTTCCTCCTCTTGAAGCTCATAGAAAAACATTCTGTCAAATAGTTTGTAATATCCTCTCTCTCTAACTGCAAGATTATTTTCTTGAAGACGACATGGAGCTTTTAGTAATCATAAACAAATTATGAATACTAAAATAATAACACATCTTTCTCTTAATTTTAATTCCTTTTAGATCCAAAAACAATCTTAAAACAAGGAAAGTTATTTCCAGCCTCTGACTCAGCATTTTACTTCTCAGTTCCACTTTAAATTCCCAGATCATCTATATAAATCAGACTGAAACCACAAAAGAGGAAAGGAAGTCAGACACAGAAATAGGAGTAACTAAGTCAATGCACCTAACAGGAAAATAAAACCAACACAATAGCTTATTGTTGTGAAAATGGCACTATATAAACTTGCTTATTAATAACAACAGCAGTGAAGGAAGAACTGACCCAGACTTGATAAACAATAAAGCAAACTCACTTGGTGGAAAGTCCAGAGAACACACTTTGTTTTCTGTCCTGGGCATGTTGGTCACCTAATGCCAAATACAGTAGTTTGGTTTCACAGAGAAAATAATAATTATTCAAGCTTCATAGTCATCTCACTGCATATTAACAGAAACAATCTTTAAATCTAAAAACTGATTTGCTCATTTCAGTACTCTGTGGAAATTACAATTTCATTACGAATTACAATTTCAACAATGAAATCACAATTATATCATATACTACATCCCCTAAGAAAATTTCAATTAATCAAACCATACTCACACTTTTCCCTAGTTTCATAACAATTTACATTATCTAAAAATGCCAGCTTTTTTGAAGTAACATTCTTAAAGATAAATTCATACAGACCTACATTATGAAGATTCACATGCACAAAGGCAGATTCAAGCTCTCAGAAGACAGTCAAAAACTTTAAGCACTGCTTGTACGTTCTGGAGCTCACTGTTCTTTCCAACAAGTTATTCCAACTTACATTTCCTTCCTTTTGCCTTTGTACCTTAGTTTCAGTTTCCTAACTGTCACGTCATCTGCACTCACTGTCCCACCCTCCTATAAAAACTGAGAAGGTTATTTGCTGAGTTTAATCCACAACAACACAGAAAACTTTTGCACTTTAACAGTAAAGTAATATTCTAAAAGGCAGAGTTACAGGCTTTTGTCAGTAGATTCCTTTGGCCATCCTTCTCTACTGAGTATCTTTGTTTGTATCCTGAACAAAACTCAAACTTTGTTCTCTGATCAGGGTTAAGTCTCATTTTATCCTTTGTGTCTTCATTACCAAATAGTAAAAATAATCTAGTAGAACAATTCTGCTTGTAAACAGTTATTTAAATTTTAAGAATTAACTTGGACCCAATGATCCTTACGGGTCCCTTCCAATTTGGGACATCTATGACTCTGAGTTCTGACAGTATATTACGCTTGTTTCAAACACACAAGCCAAAACACATGACTGAGAACCACAAAATCCTAGTTTTAAATATAAATCACAGAATCATAGAACAGTCTGGGTTAAAAGGACCACAACGATCATCTGTTTCAACCCCCTGCTGTGTGCAGGGTCACCAACCAGCAGACCAGGCTGCCCAGAGCCACATCCAGCCTGGCCTTGAATGCCTCCAGGGATGGGGCATCCACAGCCTCCTTGGGCAACCTGTTCCAGTGCCTCACCACCCTCTGAGTGAAAAACTTCCTCCTAATACCTAACCTAAACCTCCCCATCTCAGTTAAAAACCATCTCCCCTCATTCTATCACTATCCATCCTTGTAAACAGGAGGGGGAACAGCTGTTTATAGGCTCCCTTCAAGTATTGGAAGGCCACAATGAGGTCTCCCAAGAGCCTTCTAGGAGTACTATTGAAACAACATTGTTTTCTGGAGAGAAAGAATTGCTTCACAGAACAACAAAACAGTGGCCTGTAACTATGCAAATACCTTAGCATTGCAACATCAGTACAAAATGTTCCTCTTTAGGAAAAACCCTGTCTATGATTTAAGTTTTGCAAAAGCATCTTCTACTGAACTCTATTACACCATGAGACACTAACAGAATCCTCTTGAATTGAGAACACTCTCAATCTAAGGGCACTCCTCTTGCACTTAGCTGAGAAAGTAAACAATTATTAATATACTACTGGAGCAAAATTTCAGCCACACATTAAATGGCATATTCCAGAATGGAGAAAATTAACATACTGATAGTCTTGGAATTCCATCTGTAGTATATCTTATGGTGGTATCATGTTTTTGATGATAATGGTCACCTTCATTATCGAACTGCATTTCTTTTCTGTCCTTCTCTATTTCTTTGTGCTCTTGAGAAATGATCAAATGAGATCCTGAAGAACTGCTGTCCCTGAAAAGTAAGAGAAAATCCTAATTTTTCCAATATTAACGTTTAAGATGTATCACATATATTTGCTGTGAATAAAATAAATAAAAGCCTACCCTCACAGAAGCTCTCATGCCACAAACATACTTAAAGCATTTGATCAAACGTATTTTTTTTTAAGCCTTCAAGGTACACAGTATTAGCTTAAGCAAAGATCTCTAACAAAAAAAAAAGTGAGACAAGAAAAAAAAAAAAACACACAATTTTCTGCATCACCAAAAGTAGATCAGCAGAAACCAAAACAGTCTTTCGTAGGCATTTAATGCAAGAGTTAAGGATTATGCTGTAACACAGTTGAATGTACGAATATGGAAACCCTTTTAACTCTTTTGCTTTCCCTGGAGAGTTTAAAACAAAAATGACAAAAAAAATCAAGCTCCTATTAATTAAGATTCACGTTATTTTTTTTAACCATTGCCACAGTGCATTTGCTAGCATTCAGTTCCTCTCCTATTGAGGATTTGAATCAGTTTAATCTCCTCATGAAAATTATACAATGAAGTCAACACAAAACAGAGATGTGATTACAGAAACATTTTCAACAGTGTACGTGAAACAGCATGGGCAAAAGATACACAACTCTGTTTCCTGTTATTTCCAACATGACTAGAATTTCATATACTGAAGGAGACTACTTGGCGGTAGAAAACATTAGAAGATAGCTTATTTAGGAACCTAGAAGTCCTCTTTACTACTAGGCCACATTCTGGCTGCAGTTCTGATAGTCTTATTTCTTTCATATTTTTTCCTTAAACTGTAATAAATTAGTAAACATCTATGACATATTACCTAAATCTTATACTAAACATTGTTAATTAGAAAAAAAAAATAACGAGTTTAGCAGTTGCTTACTTTTTCTCAAGAAGAAAATCCTTTGGTTTCTGCTTATATTCTTTAGTACCTACAGAAAGTTTTATAGGAAGGAAAAAAAAAATTAGCTGTTTTCAAAGGAAAGCTACCAATAAATGAGATTTCTTCTTTTCAAGGCAAATCTTGAAATCAGAAAAGGTTACCTTTGATTTCTTCTAATGTCTTCTTTAACTTGTCATTTTGTTGAATAAGATCCTTAAGTCCATCAAGAATATTCTTGCACAGTTCCTGAGCTCTCTCATTAGCTTCTAAAGCCAGCTCATGCTCCCCCAGTAATGACAGTGCCTTACAGAAGTGATAATGACCCTGTGTGGATATCAGTAAGTGTTCATTCAAATAAGAATATACTTTATATTTCAAACAGTTGAAGCACACTGGACAGTACAAAGTAAAAAATACTGCACACACTAAAAAAAAAAATCTATTGCACCCCTGAATGACCAATAACCCATCAGAATGAGTACCTACCCTCTGGCTTCAGACAACAGCAATTTTGTTTTTTCCTTCCAACTTCAACTACTGATTTGCAATTCTGTAACTATCCCTTCTTTAATCTTTTTTAGTCCAAGAATACAAGGAAATACATTTTGCCTATTAAACAGAGTTTTCATTACTCTATGGACGACATGTACTCTCTCTAAAGCACTGATAACATAGCAATGCGTTGTGAAGAAATAAGTGTTTTTTTTTTCTTTACACATGCAGAACATCATGTAAGTAAGTGCACCAAAATAACATTTTTAACATAAATATGCAAGAAAGCTACGTGCTTGCCTGAATGATGCAAAATTCCCACTCTATTCATTCTACTGTCAGCAAAGCTAAATGCAAATATCACACAGGTAGATAGGAAGTGTTCATATCTGTAATTCAGACTCTGGGATCCTATGTTTGGTTTACAATACTAGCAAAAGACAATTCTGAAACACGTATGAAACTAACCTTTGGCCAATTAGGCTTCAAAATAGTGGCCCTTTTTCCATCAGCAAGGGCTTTCCTTAGAGAAAAGGAAGCAAAAAGAATAGAGATTTATTATTCAGACTTCAGGAAAATCTACAGACCAGGACTTCAATGTACACAGCACTATAAAAATTTAAGATAAATAAAAGAACAGTTCACCTGCAAAAAGGCAGAGAGAATAGACATAACTGGGAACGCTCAAGGAAGATGACTGAGATTATCTGAGAAGACTACTTCAAGTTAAACAGAAACAAATAAAGCCAGTGGTTTGGCCTGGAGACCTCGTTGCCATTAGCAACTCACCAATGTTCAGTTAAAGACATGCCAGATGCAGACAAATAGGACTTTAAGAATAACGAATAGAAAGTACCTAATATCCACTAGAAGTACCATGTATAATAAAAAAATCAAATGTTATGTGCAGAGAGTTCAGCACAGCACCAGGAAAATAGGCAGAAACTATGAACTGTATGGATGTCAATTTTTAATTCCATTGTTATTTCTTTTTCTTGCAACAATTAGGTCAGGATTAATAATAATCAGACCTTTGTGATTTCAGTTTTACTACAACAAAACCTTTATATAAAAAAAATATATACATCCACCTTGGTCACAAACAAGATTTTTACCTTAACAACTGGCTTCATGAACGATAATCCCAGAAATACACTCTTCTCTAAAATGTTTCATAAATCACAGCCCTCACTGGTACTAAGGGTTTTTTTTCCCCCCCATTCATATAACCTCCCCTCTGTTCCAAACTTTAAATAGCATTAGATACTACCAGTGAATACAACTAACATTACTCTTTTCTCTTAATATCAGTTTCCTGAGGTAGAGACATCACAATTACTATATATACACTTCAGTTTTTTAAGTACTTTCTTTGTTCAGTGTTTAATTTGCAGGAGATTTCAGATTATAAACAAGGGTTACTTACTGGTACTGCTTCGTGAGAATTAAACAAAGAGCTCGGTTTCCATACAGAAGATGGTTTGTAGGACTTAAGAAAAAAAACCAAAAAGTTTGTATTATATATTACTTTGGGAAACTTTAAGGAAAAGTTCTCCCAATAACTGTCTGCAAACACCATAGCATAAACACCGCAAAAAATTACATACAAGTTTCCTTCAATAGTCTCAGCAATTTACAAGTCATTAACATTACTGTTTTAATTATGTAGCAATTTGTAAGATTATTGAGGTGAAAAGAATAAAAGATAGATAGATTTAGATTCTGCCCCCAATACTTTGCTGTGACAGATACATCAAAAGACAACTCAAGCCATCCAAAGACACAGCTAGTACACTCCCTCCCATCTCAGCTTTGCTTGGGGAAAAACAAAAAAAAGAAATTGGTGGAGTCATGGAAAAGCTAGCTTGACTGTCACATACATCCCAGTTTGTTTTGCTCTGCAATCCTTAACCTCCAATTAAGTCAAACATTCCACAAACACTTTTGGATCACTGCTTCCAGAACTTTGTTTCATAACCATCTGTCTGACTGGGCCAGTCAAAGAGCTGTTCCAAAGAATTAAAGCACTGCTCCCAAAGTACCTACAGAAGAGTGGGTGGGAGGGGGAAACCTGCATATGTAATCCACCAACCACTTGAAACAAAGGAAAAGGATGCAGCTAGCTGGGGAAGAAGTGTGATGATGAAGCAGATGAAAATCAGCTCCGCAAGAGAAGGAGGAGAAAGAAAACAAAGTCCAGGAAGGTTGAAATCAGTTTGAATTTGGGTTGCGATATGACACTATGTACTATGAGACAAAATCTGAACAAAGACAACAGCAAAATGCTAATCCTATCAACCACACACTTACAACACTATGGACAAAATTAAAAAATATATCAGATTTTTATGGAATTCAGATTTACTCTACTTATTATTTAGTCATCTAAACCCAACAGAAACTCTTGGAAAGAAAAAGTGCAAACAACCACTAGCAAGAAGAAATAGGAAAAGTTGTGTAACACTTTTTTTTTTAGTTAGACATCATTTGATTTCTAGAGTGGCTCATGCAAAACTAAACAAAATCTTAATAAATCCCAATAAGCTGAGAGCATATGACACAACACAATCTAGTTAACCAGTTGAGTTCTTACCAAAACTCTATGGCTTTAGTATATGATATTATAGCATGATCAAATTTTCCTTGGGAGAACTCCTCATTTCCCTTCTGTTTCATAGATTCACTCTTCTGTGAAATTAAAAAACAATTCAGAAGCCACTGTAATTAAACTCAGTTGCAATGTGAAGTAAAGAAAACAGCTGGCAATAGACTCCAGTGCTCCAATACCTCCAATGTACAATGGCAGCATAAACAACCAACGTTCTGTTTATTAAGTCAGGATCTCACAAGGAAATAATTTATGCCTAGATAATTACTCATTTAAGCTTTTGAAACATGAGTCTTTGATCATTTGGCAATTTTTTTTTATGGCCAAAAAAACCCACAACACATGAAAGTGACAAATACCCTGATACAGTCTCTTACCTTCCTACAGTTTTCACAGGTGACAGCTTTAAATTCTTCAACTAAATTACAATCTTCCAAAGCAACTTTAGTAATATAATGTTTGCCTGTAGACAAAAAAAAAAAAAAAAAAAAAATCAGAAAACCGCAATGAATGAAAAAGTAATCAAGACAAAAAGTAGAGTTTGTTTTCTGCTAAGAACTGTGCTCCCTTGTATGTTTGGAAGCAAAATTTACATACCAAATAAATAACAGAAACAAACGACATGACAAATGTTTGAAACTAAAGTATCACTTATTATTGGGTAAGCCCAAAAAATGTTGTTGCAAGCAGTAAAACCTTTAAGGATTCGCCCTCTTTCAAGCAATCAACTGAAATTTTGCTTTATTTTGAAAGAAGTTGGGATTTTAAAGATCTGTAAAGATTCCCGTTAAAAAGAATTCATACCCTGGTACTTAACTATAAAAAGATTTTCTGCTTACATCCAAGTCCAGTTCCCACCACTCACTTATTTACTGTAATAGCTGAATTAGAATGTACATACGCAAAGATTAAGAGCAGAACACAAGCTGCTCAACAGGCAAGAAGAATAGTAGGCTTGGTATCTTCTGCCATTTCAACTGAAGTTCTACTGCTAGTGTTAACAGCCTGTGGGATCTCCCATGAGCTTATGTAAGCTGAATTTGGAAAGATGCCCAACATCTGAATTAATACAGACAAAACCCTCTGTCAAACTTTTAACAATAAAACCCTACTAATATTACAGTCACATTCCATCCCTGTGCTAAAGATTGAGAGCCTACAGGCACACAATTAGCTCACAAAGGACTCCAAACTCAGGAACTATTCTGAACACCTGTTCAGAAAGAGCATGTGCACTGTGAACATGAAAACATACAGAAACTCAAACAAAATTTGACTGCTTTAAATAAACAAAACAAACAACACAAGAACACTTATTCCAGTCACTCCTGCAGACACTTTCAGGCTAATATAAGCATTACTATCCCATAGCTTGAATACAGGTAACTTTCCACATGACTGCTTCTTCAGAAGAGCTACTTACATTCACCAAAGAAAGTTTCAAGATAGAGCCAACCAAAATCACCAAGTTCCTCCAGCTTCTGCAGAACATTGATATCACCTGCACATCTGATCCAATCAAGTGCATCCCTAACATCGAAGAAACCCTAGTGCAATCGAAGAAAAGGGGGAAAAAACAACAAACAAAACAGTAATGTTATACAAAGTCCTAAATAAAAAACAACACACCAGGTAAACAAATAATTCACTGGCAATAGTGAAAGTATTCTGTGTAAACACAAAAAACCAGTTTTTTTTATAGCACCTTGCTTGAGGCACTTGATCCCAAGTTGTTAGCCTTTCAAACAGGCAATATTCACAGATATAAATATCCAGGTAACTTAAACGCAGCATAATAAAGCATATTCACAAAATGCAGACAGACATATTTTCAACAGGATACAGGGAAGCCATTCAAATCACAAAATTTGATTCAGAAATCTTCTTTTTTTCAGTTAAACTACAAAAGACAGCAGAAACTAGGAACTGAAGAGTAAAAGCGATAAGCATAGGGAAACTAAGAACAGCCAGAGAAACAGAGAGAAGATGAAAAACTTAACAAGTACGGTTCTATCAAATGCTGAATTTGATCATGAAGATGGATCAGCATGCTCCTATACCACAACCTTAGTCAATCATTCACAGTCCTTCAGACTTAATCAGTACCACTGTATGAGAATCTCTTAGAACGCTTCCCCTCTGCCTCCAAAAAAGAGTTTCTGAGGTTTTTACCATTTCAGTAATCAAGCATAGTCCTATCGATAGCCCTGAAGCCTTATCATACAGCATTGCCATTGCTTACAATAGGCCACAGGACTGCAACTTGCCAGGTTTACTACTTGTCTGTTTTAATTTATTTCATCTCTAACAGAAATCTCTTTTGATCAGGTGGCCATGGTTCACTTGGTTCACTTTTGCACAGTACAACAATAGTTAATATACAGACAGTAGTAACAATAAGTGACTTGATAGAGCTAACATAATGATGCAACATTAAGAAACGTAAAAATGAAAGACAAATGTAACAGAACAAAGGCCTCAAAAACTGGAGACATGAAATAGTTGAGAAGAGTAGAGGCATGGGAAAGATATCACACGCTGACATCAAAGACCCAATGGCAGTAAGCAACTGGTGAACACAAAAACAGAAAGGAAGCAAAAAGAAACAAATACAAACATAGAAAAGGACAAAACTGGGGCAAAATGTACGTAATGTACAGAAAACACAGGACATATAATAAAATCAGAAGCAACTTGAACATGCACACCAATAACAATCAAGGTGCAAAAGTGCATTAGCAAACAAAAAACAAACGCAATTCTACAATTAGGAACATCAACAGTATTCTTCACAGCAAAGAACTCTGAGAAGCAATGCTTACACTCCCCACACTAAACTGAAACCATTGACTGTAAGTCCCCAAGGAGCTGTAAATGCTAAGCATAACACCTCAGATAGGGTCAGAGACTAGGAAACGTATTTACCACAATATTAATTGTATTACTACTATCATAAGAGTTCCTCCATTTACTTTTCTTTGTTTTCATTCATCATCTATAATAACCCACTATGAAAGGTTTCCTAACAATTCCTTGTCATTTTATGAGAAGTGTTTTTTTTCTACTCACTGTCCTATCCCAAGATTTTCAGTGTAACACACAAACACCAGCACAGAAAGAGGACAAGCAAACATACCAGCAGTAGGACATATAAGCCACCCCCAGAATTCCCACCCATTATGATCTTCTTACACAGAATGGCATTTATCTCACAGCTCCTGCCTGTATGAGAACTGCTGGATCACAGCCTGAGGTGAGCCATGAGTCAGCTCTGGGAGCACAGCTGAAGGCAATTCACCTGCGCTACCAGAAGGAGTGGAGCCTGGCTGCACCTCTCCTAGACCCCACTTAAGAGCTGACTACCAGTGGGGAAGGATCTCTTCTGGAGATTGCTCCTCCTGGAGACTTCTCAGTGAGCCCAGGACAAGGGTATGCTTTCCATCTATTCTTCTTTAGCGTGATAACCTGCTTAGCTTAAGTTTGTTGTGTATTTCTTAATTATAACATCTGTGTATTCACTGATTATACACTGTCACACATGCATATTATTTTGTGGCTTAGAGTTGCAACAACTGGGATGCATCAATATATAGGTCTGTATATTTAAGCAATCATTTTAATATTTTGTATATTCATACAAATATTTCATTCATATTCACACATAAAAGAGCATTCCAATTTACAAGAATACAAGAAACTTACATTTTCTAGCCTGCTGCCAATTCTCAGTATGCCCCCAATAAAATGTGGAACATTCTAGAAGATAGATTAAAAAAAAAAAAAGGAAAAAGTTAACATCTGTTAATTTTAGTTGCCTGCTCAGGTTCAACTCAAGAACATTTTCTGTTCCTCTTTAATGCAGTGCCACTTGGGTAACAGCTCTGGTCCATTTTGAAGTTTCAGGAAATATTTTTGTATTCAATAGCCAATCCCCACGTGCTGTTGTTGAAAGGTAAATAAATAGTGAAGATGCTATGATGTCTGGTTAGGATAGCCAGCTGCTTTAGCCATTTCTGTAGTTATCTACACAAATTACCAGCTGACACATCATGTGAAAAATATCCAAAACAGCAGGACTTCCTCTCCTGAGATTTGGATACTGGATATACTGTCTTTTACAAGAAGATAGAGGCTGAACAATTAAGAAAAGCAAAGTATAGGTCAAAGGGAATGAGAATACACACAAAGCCTCTCATAAACACTGAGTGAGAGGCTCCCATGAAGGGAAACAGCACCAAAATCTCACCACATGAGACAAAGTGGAATAACTGCAGGGACATCCTGAAGTACAAGAAGGTGAAAATAGAGCACTCAAAGAGCCTGAAGGGGGGGAGCAGCACAAAGAGCATAAGCAAGTATGAATCCATCAGATGAGTACCTGATAATGTAACAGTAAGGTAGACAGAAAAGTACACTCAGAGTTCAACACAGAACTTCAGTAAATCAATATTTTTTTTTAAATGTCATACTTAAATTCTAAAAACCTACTATCTTTCCTTTATCTGCTGCCAAACATTTGTCATTCTCTGTCACTGTCAATGCATGAAATCAACAATGAATGAAGTCAACAACAACATCTATTTTAAAAATAATCTGTTCAGCAAGAAAACAGTTTGACAAAAAAATATATATCTGTATATCTGTATATAAAAAAATAACTTATCAGGATAAGGTGCCATTTGTTTTTCCCAATTGCTTCCCAATTGCTGAGAGCAATTTACAAGGGCCCCAGTCAAACCTATTAAAAGACTCTGCACGTACCGACTGCAAGAAAAACTATGATCTGAAATTAAGTTTCTAAAAACCTGTACCTTGACTATCAATTTATTCACTCCAGTAAAAGGAAATTTTTAAATTAAAATGCAGTCTCAAGTTATAATACTTACAACCACTTTTTTAGTCAAATCAACAAGGTCTTCCACAAGCTCTAAATCACAGAGTTTCTTCCAATTCCAGTCTAAAATCTGTAAACTGCTGCAAAAAAGTTATCAATTAGAAAAACAACACTGTGTAAAACAGTCTTGTCTACTAACAGCTACAGTGATTAGATTTAAGCAAGAACGTGGCTACCAACTCAAATCAAGCATTTCAGAAGGGGAAAAACAAAAAGATACAAAGATTTTGGTACTTCTCAAATATAAGATGTCCTTGTAAGCACATAAATACCCATGTAGATTCCAAACTTCAGAAACCCTTTCTTAATTTCATCTTATGTTCAAGAACAATGCCTTCTGATCTTAAGTAACGTAGCTCACCGCAAAAACACTCCTACAGATTGTTTTACCACTACTGAGAGCACAACTGTCACATCTGTTATCCTTCACAGATGATGAAAAGAAATGCAAAGGCTGATGACTCATTGTGAGAACTTACCCCCAGTCAGCTACCAAATAATTACTTTCACTTTGGAAGAGAAGAGGCCAAAAGATGCATATTTTAATAACGTTGCAATATTCTCTTAGTTTGTCAACCGGCTGACGGCACCACACTTCACAGGGGTCAACATCTTTAAGAAAACAGGTAAGAACTAGACTATACAATTCAAGCATTACAAGTAATCAAAGTCCAACTACACATTCAAAAAAATCACCAGTTATTGCCATAATGCACTCCTATGCGCTATTTAATCAGATTGAAACTTCCAATGTACCTGATAAATTGAGGTTTTTGGTTTTTTTCTAACTTGAAGGAGGGAATTTATATGGAAATAAGAATACGAACGTGCTGGCAGACTTCACATTCTTTGCCCAAGGAATCACATATGTTCTAAATTGTATTAACATAAATGTATAAATGAATAAATGCTGCCTGCTTTTAACAAGGAGCCTAACAAGGGCTGTGAGCTGCTTGATGGCTAAAAGAGATACTGTTTCCAAAGAACAACATAAGCCTCTTCTAGCTGTACCTGTTATTTTCTATGACAAATTTAATGTATTGTGGCATGTAGCAACTCAGCACTAAAAGAAAAAAAAAAAATAATCACAAAATCTTTTTTCTCTAGAGTACATTACATATGTGATACCTGGCTCTTCCAAAAAATAGAACCCATTTCCCTTGGAGGCTGCCTTTAAAAGGCAAGGGTCCTGATTAGACTATTGAGGTGGCATCAAGTAATTCCAGAGCAGAAGCAGTATTATCTGAGTTTGAATAAATGCAAAAATTCATCTCACATAGTGAGATTGGTGATTAAACCTGAAATCCTACATATTAAACATTATCATTTCTGTAGTGAATCCAGATTTAATAATCTGGCATACTCTAAAGCCATCTGCTTCTCTGCAGCTGTCGAAAAAATAATTAAGGATTATAGGTAAAGAGTTTTGCAGTTATTAAGAACCATTTGAATGTGTCTTTAGATTTATACAGCTAAGATAGAGTTACAATTAAAACACAGGTAATAAGTATCAACCTTACCTGTCCATCCTTGTAGCATTAACCACCTAAATATATGTCAGTGTTACTCTCTACCCACACTGCTCTCACAAATGCACAGTAGTATACTGCATCAGCACAGTAAGATGAGAACTCCTTCAGCATTAATTAAATATAACAATGCTTCTGCTCAGAGAAGAAATGATTTTAGCTTACTCAGACAACAGGAGGGGAAAAAAGTGAAACAGCAATTGAAAGATGCAAGCACAGCACAGACACTGCTTAAGAAAGTTACATAATATTGGTTTAGTTTACATACCAGTTTTAGGTTTATGTGGAGAACGTTGCACAAATACTCCATGACCCTAGAGATAAACATGTTATTTCTTAACATTGCATATCTTGCAAATACATTACTTAAGGAGTTTTGAAGTATTAAACCAGAATATAATCTTTACATCAGAGGAAGTAGAGGAATAGAAGCAATTTTTAAGCTCTCTCACCAGTTCCTTTTCTCAATACACTTTTGCTTTCAGAACACAGATACATAGGATCAGTAAAGATGACGATCTGTGGTTATGTTGGCAACCTAAACTAGCTGCCACATTTCTGTTCACTGCAGGGGAACTGGATTAGAAGGCCCTCAGAGGCCCCTTCCAACGCTAAGGATTCTATGATTATATGTTTTCATAAGCAGCATGATCAAAAAGGAAACAAAACTATGAAGCAAAGCATTTGTACTGAGGAGTCTACTTTAACATTACACACTTTCCAAAGGGATGTTATAGTTCACACTTCTTCATGTCTATTCCCACAGTCAGCACATCTGTTCATGGCTGATACACATTAGCTATGGTCCTAAAAGCATCTTAAACATTAGTCTCACTCTCAGTGAACCCCACTAGCACACTCCTATTCCTCTTCTCAAAGCACAGAATATAAGGACACCTGGGATATTTGCTTCAAAAGCATCCTGAGTCAAACTAAAATCCTAATGCAGACACGTCAACTAAATCAGTATCAGTAACTAAAATTTAGTTAGTCATTACTAACTCTAGTTAGTTGTTAACTAAAATACTAACGTAGATAACACAACCAAGAAAACAATTTCTTTGTACCTACTTGTTCTGAACAGAAGCTTGTAATAAAATCTTCATAGAACTCATTCAGCGTTCACCATCATCTCACTGTCTTCTACGTCCAATCGGAGATGGGTGAACTTCCCCAGCCTTCCCCCCCCATCCCATTTCACAAAGAATAAAACAATACTAGTGTTCCTAATCTGCTCTATTTCTGGAATTCTGTCATCTGTTTTCTGGGAGAAAATAAGGAAACTTACGATCTGCAGTATTTTGCACTAACAAATCCCTCTGACAGACCCTTTTGTATCAAGTCTTTATAATTCACGTTTAGCAAAGCCAGAAAGCAAGCCAGTAAGTAAACAAACAAGAACAACAAAAAAAAGCATTTTTATTAGTTAGCTAACACAACAGTCTAGTCAACTGCACTCTTAAGGAAAATAAAGAGTATTTACATAGCCATGAACTGAAAAGCATACCCACAGATTAATCATTAGAAATGGACAAAAATTTTTTAAGAGTTTAAACAACATACTTTAATGTGCTTAAAGCAGAGTACTCCATGCAAGCCTCTCAAGCCGAAAAGTTATTCTCTTCTCTTTTACAAAACCCTACAAAATCTGTTATTTTAATAAACACTGTGTGTGCCATTTGATGCATACTGTATGCATTATGCCTCTGCATAGCAACATTATCATTTCAAAGAAACACATACCTATCCCAGAATACAAGTGGAGAAAAATATATAAACATGAAGCGTGTCATTCAGAAAGTTCCTTTCACAGCCCTTTATTGTTTCAGCAGCAGATCTCACAGACACACTAACATTGTGCAATGACGACTTACTAATTTGACCTGAGGTGATGACAAGGAATCACATGGTCTTGCCCAAATTAATAGTCCTGAACTGCTACAGCACTACACATAAATCAAGGCTTACTCTCAAAAATAAAGTTATTGCAGTGTCAACATATTCACCAGACCAGGACACTAACACAGAGAAGAAAAAGATGAACTGGCATTTCAAAATCAATTCATCTTAAAGATGACTGAGAAAGTCTTATTCACTCCACAGGATGGATTCTGCTACAAAACTAAAAACAAACAAATTCATCCTCCTCACCCCTATGTCCCCAAAACCTAGTACTGGACACATCAAGCCCAAGGTGACGTTCCCACTAAAGAAAACTTCAGAAACAAGATTCAGCATTTGCACAGAATCAAGGGCTTTCAACAGCATAGCACATACATCCCTTTAAAGAGCATTTAGAATATTTTACTAACACAATTGTTAAGATATTTTATTCACTCCATAGCAGAGAAGATATCTTGGATGATATAAACAAATTTAAATGAGACACACTACTACTAATGGTCCCTAGTGCAGGTCATAGAATCATAGAATATCAAGAGTCAGAAGAGATCCATAAAAGATCACAGAGTCCAACCTAAGGCTCCACAGAGGACCACCCAAAACTTAACACCTATGTCTGAGAGTTTGTCCAGATGCTTCTTGAACTCCCTCAGACTTGGTGCCATCCCTAGTGAGCTTGCTCCAGGGCCACAACACCTCTTCGTAAGTCCCAAACCTGATACAGCTTTACAAATCGGAAAGTTGCTTTATCCATACTTTTTATTTCTCCCCAACAATTGTCACCCAGCTAGTTTGTATCTCGCAATACTTCAGATAAACAATCCATGAACAAAAGCAGCAAAAAAGGTTAACTACCTCAGTATTTTGAAAATTCCTTAAGCATAGCAAGAAGTGGGAAATAAGAGTCAAGGAAAGCATACGTGGAAATATTGTAAGAGAAAAGCGCTACAGTTCGAAAAATAAAAGAAATAACTAAATAAGCAGTGGCCCTATTGAGCAAAAACAACTATATATATACATATATATCTATGTATAAAAACAGAGAATAGACAAACACTATGCAGTCAATTCAGTCTTGAACTCACACTAACTGTTGTGAACAGTTGTGAATGTTTTGTGATTAAAGAGACACTTAGATAAGTCATCTCATACATGGCCTGTATACACAACCAAGGGATTTGTTAAGCAGTCATTATGACCTACCCACTATTGTCTGGGTTTACAACAATTGTATATGCGTTCAATAAATTCCTGATAGAGGATATGCTGTCTCTGGTGCCCTACTCAGATTTACCTTACTATTTCTGCAAGAGAGCAGTATACAGAGAGTGGCACAAGAAATTTTTGCTTGAGGGAAATCTAATTGCGGCCTTCCAGTATCTAACTGAAGGGAGCTTATAAACAGGAGGGAGACTGACTTTTTACATGGTCTGATAGTGATAGGGCAAGGAGGAATAGCTTTGAACTACAGGGGGGAAATTTAGATTAGATGTTAGGATGAAATTCTTTCCCCAGCAGGCAGTGAGGCGCTAGCACAGCTGCCCAGAGAAGCTGTGTTGCCCCATCCCTGGAGGCAGCCTGAGCTGGTGAGGGGCAGCCCTGCCCATGGCAGGGACTGGGGTGGGTGGGATTTGGCCTCCCTTCGAACCCAAGACATTCTACAATTCTATGAAATCCCAATGGAAGATCTCTTTCCAAACCCACTCACCAATTCACAGCAGGATTTATAACCAGCACTGAAAGCGAAGGCCGCAAACTCAGATTCAGACAAAGGGTCACCCATGGCTCGAGAACCTGAAAGAAAACGATTAAGAGAAATAGGGTGAGGAGGGAGACAAGTCGCAAACAACGCGCGTTAAACAGGACTTCTCCAAATTCCTACAAGTGTTTCACGGAATATCTGCATTATTTCCACACGTCACATCCTCCAGTTTGTTTTTAATTCTAACTCGCTGCACCATTCCCGAGCCCCTCGTACCGCCCTGCCCCGGAGCCCCGCGGTGCGGCACCGCGCTGTTTCCGCACACCTCGAGCTCGGAGCCCCGCAGCCGCCCGGCAACCCCTCTGACAGCCACCACCCGGAAGCCCCGCAGCTCCCACTGACGTGTCGCAGCCCGGCCCCAAGGCGCCGGCCCCCACCCCGGGCGTCAGCCAGGCGGGGGCTGCGGTGAGATGGCGATAGCCCTTCCCTCCCGCTGACAAGGAAGGAGGCACAGGACTGTGGCGTGAATGGAAGGGCCGCACCTACCGCTGCAATCATTCACCAGCCCTTACCAGAACCAACCGATCAACAGCCCGCCCTCCACAACTCAGCTCAGTGCTGCAGTCGCAGCTCCGTAAAACCTCCAACTGCCCCCCGCGGGCCAGTAGTGCGCATGCACCCGCTAAAAGCGCTCGCCGTCTCTGATTGCGCATGCGCGGAGGCGGCCTGGTAGGCTCGCGATATCCAGAGTGAAGAGTAAAGCCGGGCGTCGTTCCTCTCGCGTCTTCCGGTTTGGGAAGGTGGGGGTGTGTGTATGACAGCAGTCGCTCAGACTGTACGGTGCGGTCACGTGTTACCAGCCGTGTGCGTGTGTGGTGGAGTTGTCCTCTTCGCAGTCGCCATCCTATGGCAGCAGTACTTGGAGTCGTCGCCTGGTAGCCGGGCGGGAGGTTCGGGCTGCCTGATCTCCCGTCCTTGCTCTGTGAGAGCCTTCTGATTTCTTCTTACCGTTGTTGGTTTCTTCCCTGAGTTAGAGGGAAGGATCAGTGAGTATGGTGGAGAACTCTCCAGCCCCACTGCCTGAAAGGGCAATATACGGATTTGCTCTGTTTTTAGGATCTTGGTTTGGCTTTAGTAAGTATTCTGGGTATTGAAATCTGTTGCTTTGCTTATGGGACAAATGTAATTCTGACAAGGCCGTCTCAGAAGGGTGATGTTAGTGTTGAACTGCCTGCAGAGGGGGAGTCAGTATTACTTCCCAGGCCTGTGCGTTGATATGGTACATTCTGTGATTCTAATGTGTTTTGTCTTTCTTTTACAATTCATGCTGTCTTTCATATTATCGTAGATACAAATTAATTTAAAACTCCCCTGCGGTCTAGTTTTAGTAAGTCTTATATCTGAATTGTATGTATTGCCTCTGCGTAGTAACTATTGTGGAGAGGAGTGGGAATCGTAGACTTGTTAGAGTTGGAAGGAACCCTTAAAGGCCACCTAGTCCAACCCCCTGCAATGAGCAGGGACACCCACAGCTCCATCAGGTGCTCAGACCCCTGTCCAGCCTGACCTTGAGTGTCTGTAGGGATGGGGCATCTACCACCACTCTGGGCAACCTGCTCCAGTTCCTCACCACCCTTACTATAACATCCAATCTTTATATCCGATCTAAGTCTCTTTTAGTTTGAAACCTTTTCCCACTGTGCCATCGCAACAGACCCTGCTGAAGAATCTGTCCCCTTCTTTCTTACAGCCTCCATCTGAGACTGAAAGGCCACTCTTAAGTCTCTCCAAAGCCTTCTCCAGGCTGAACAGCCCCAGCTCTCAGGCTGTCTTTGTAGGAGATGCAAAAATCTTCCTCACCTAAGCACTGGAGAAAGGAAATAGGTCAATTTGGTTAACAGCAGTGGGAAGTGATCAGGGTTACACTAGCATTTTGCTGCTGTTCTGACAGCTGCCTTAGCATTTCAATGGAGATATCTTACATGCTAGAGATGTTGGTCTTTTGTAAGCCTTTCGCACCTTTAGGAGAGAAGTAGAAGTTGGCTTCAGTTCTTCCCACAAGAAGCTGCTGCATTAATGTAGCTTCTGTCACTGCTTAGCTGCTAACCTATTTTCATCAAGTTTTTCTGAATTTCACTGGATTTGTTGGTGGTAAGTAAAATCTCTCAGCATTGTTTTTGTTGATGTGAAATTGGTTTTTATCTTACAAGGAGTCAGGAAGTATTTCCAGTATTCGAGAAGCAAATTTGGACAGTACTTTCAGAAACTGACGATAGTTGAGGGTCCTTTTCAACTCAGGATGTTCTGTGTTTTTACCCAGTGTTAAAGCAAATACAAAAGTGTTATTGTATAAGTGGCTATAAAATGTTATCCCTGTACTGTGCAAGATTTTTCTGAGATGGTATTTTGCCATATTTTAGTAGAGCTATTTTTGTTTAAATTGTCTAAAGCAAAGTAGTTTCAGTATGTCCCAGTATGAGAGTATTGCTCTAAAATCTTAAGAAGGAGATCTAAAATGGTATTGTTTGAACTGTTTTCACTCTTCATTCTTCTGTGCAGTGCTGTATCTTATCTGGGCATATGTTCCTGAGACTTGGCTCTTCTCATTGGGACTAACATACTGGCCTCAAAAGTAAGTTCAAGCTTATTTCTTAAGTTCAACCTCAAACTGTTAAGCCTGGGTATGTGTAATGATTTCCAGATAAGAAATTGTGAAACTGTTTTTAAAATATGTATGGTTTTTTTCTGATTCTAAGGGATTGTAATGTTTGTGAAACATTATTTTATGTGGATAAGCATTTAAGATAAAAATGTCTTGTTGTGTCTTGGGAGGGATGGTAGTATTTTGATGTTTTATGATAAGTCTGAATTTTTGTTTTCAGAGAGTTTGTTGAATAACATACAGTAGACTTTAAACTGTAAATATAAAAAATAGAAACTTTCTGTAAATGAATCTGTGTGGTGGTTTATACCAAAGTGGTTACACTGATTCTGTAGTCAGGTATCTTCTTGGGGGAAGCCATGATCCATACCCAGAAGTGTTGTTTCTTTGCCCATTGGTAAAGTTAGATAAGATAGCTGCTACATTAAAACTGTTACATCATTATGTATTTGTTACTAGAAAGTACATAAACTTTAAAATCTTTTTCCTCAGGTACTGGGCAGTTGCTTTGCCAGCATATTTATTAGTTGTTGTGGGAATTGGTTATGTATTACTTTTTGGAATTAACATGATGAGTACAGCTCCACTTAACTCCACGCATACTATTACAGGTAATCTTTTTTGTATGGGATTTTTTGTTTTTTCTAAGATTTTTATATTTAATCGATAATTTCTGTAAAAATACGTATGTAGGCATAAATAATATAATTCAAATTTTAAGCTTTCAAATATTTTAACATGGAGAAAAAGTTCATGGAAATACTTAAGGACCAGAGTGAAAAGATCTTCCACAAGCCTGACTTTTGCTTCTTTGTTACCTTATGGCAGTAATTTCCAAGTGGTAAAGTGTACCATATTAGTAAAGCAGACAACGTTAGAGAAACAGGTCTTAGAATGTATCCAGGCATGTACATATCTCTCATGTCATCCTCTGACTTAGTGGCAACCCAAGAGTTTGTATGGCACATGAGATGTGGGTCTTGCTCTGTTTGAAAAATAACTGCTCTCATCTTTGTTTTCTCCAAGGGAAATGTTGAGTGATTTTTGTTCAGTGTGTATCTGTGAACATGTTCATGCTATTATAGGAGCAGGAGCTGTATGGTGGTGGGAACGTGAAGCTAAGATAAAGGAAGGGTAGCCAGCATCTTAATAGAAATCTAAAATAAAATACTCATGCTACAGAGTGAGCTACTCACTGCAGGGTTTGTTTACTCTTTTTATCTGTGTCTGGTTGTGATTTGATGTCATCTACAGCATCTTAAACAAAGTACAGTCCCTGATGGATGTTCCAGCAGGAGAGCAGGGTTGATTTCTTCAGGGCCTCTGTTAACGTATGTCGATGTGAGGTGTTTCTGATTTACCATCTTATATCTCAGCAAGATGGGGTTTTCAGCATCATTTAGTAGCTAAATTTATAGTATTTGTATAGCTACATTGCATTATGTAACATTTATGGCAGAAAAAAAACCATCTTCAATATGTAGAATGTTTTCTTTATTTTCTGTAGATAACTATGCTAAGAAGCAACAACAGAAGAAATTTCAAGAAGAAGCAATTCCAGCATTGAGGGATATACCCATCAGTGAAGTAAACAGAATGTTCTTCCTACCTGAAAAAGGAATTTTCAATAACAGATAGTAGTTACCAAGACCTGTCTGAATATAGGATTATGAGGAACATTACATAACATCTCGTTGCTGAAAGACACCTTCTTCTCATGGTATAATACAGCATTTTTTGTGTGTGTTTCTAACAAAATTTATGTATGTTTCACTGATGTGGCTTGGTAACCTGCATTAATATGAGAATTATGGCAGATTAATTAATTTAACCATTTTGTTGATTTTAAAATTACATTATAATAATTGTAGGTTACTGCTTAAAATTTCGCACTCAGTGTAAAATAAATGTTTGGACCTGGCTTAGTCCTGTTTTTCATTGAGTTCAAGGAAAGCAAATGTGTTTTGTTTGTCAAATGCTTGAGGCTTTTTTTTTTAACGTAAGTTAAAGTGTTTACGTTGTAAATGTACAGTTTTCATTTGTAAATATTAATAAACTGTAAATATTGTTAAGGTTGGCAGTGTTCCTGTGGTTCAGTAAGATTTGTTCTGGGTACAGCGTGTGTATAGTGTTTGGTTTTTCTTTACATAATTATTTACTCATCACATTATAGAGTCATGGAATCCATTTAAGCTGGAAAAGACCTCAAAGGTTAAGTTAACCAAGCACTGCTGAGTGTACCACTACATCTGCACATCTTTGAGTTCCTCTAAGGGTGGTGATTCAGCTATTTCCCTGGGTGGCCTGTTTAAGTGCTTCAAAGCCCCTTATGTAAGGAAATTTCTCCTAATATCCAACTTAAACCTTCCCTAGCACAACTTGAGGCCATTTCCTCTTGTGCTGTTGCTTGCTGCCAGGGAGTAGAGACTGATCTTTGCCTTACTAAAAACTCCTTTGATGTAGTCGTAGAGATTAATGATGTCTCCCTTGAACCTCCTTTTCTTTAGGCTAAATAAGCCTGTTTCCCTTAGCCATTCCTCATGAGACCTATACTGTAAACCTTGTACCAGCTTGTTGCCCTTCTCTGGACACACTTCATCAACTCAACATCTTGTGGTGAGGGGCTCAAAACTGAACACAGTAGTCAAAGTATGGCCTCATCAGAGCTGAGTACGTGGGTGCAAACATTTCCCTAGTCCTGCTGGCCTTGCGTTTTCTGATACAAGCCAGGTTGCCATTGGCCTTCTTGGCCACTTGGGCATGCTGCTGGCTGATGTTCAGCTGGCTGTTGACCAGCACATCTTGTCCTTTTTCACTAGGCAGTTTTCCAGCCATAGTTACATTGCTTGGGGTTGTTGTGACCCAAGTACAGGACTCTGTACTTAGCCTTGTTGAACCTCATACTGTTGGTCTCAGCCCATTGGTTGTGGCTATCCAGATTCCTCTTCCTACCCTCGAGCAGATCAACTCTCCCACCTAACTTGGTGTGATCTGCAAACTTACGGAGGGTGCAGTCAAACTCC